TTCTACTCTTATCTTTCTCAGTTATCCTCGTTAAAACTCATTTAGCAGAACAGCTACCTGATTTGTCTGAGCTTTTAGCTTCCAGCTAGAGAAGGTCTGGTGGTCCAGAACTTCGATCAGGAGGAAAATGCTGAACTATTAGTTAGGTATCTGCATAAGAAATCTGGACTTTGAGCTCATTAAATAGTTTAGGTGAGCTAAACTTGCTACTAAATGGTGAAATATTTTAGTTTTTTGAATACTGATAATCATGTTTGATAAAACCTCAAGGTCACAGTTTTGATTCCCTGTAGGAGCTTTCATACCTCCAAGGTTATTTTGTTTTCTTTTCAATGAGCACATGTGAAAGCGTTCAAAATATTGAAAGAAACATATTTTTATATATGTTTAATTCATGAACTTTTAACCTCCTAAGGTTTATATGCTTCTGCTTAAGAGGATTTTTGTTACGCACTTGCCTTTAATGCACAGCTGTAATGGACTGCAGAACAAGGCTGTTTTATTTTGTTATAACTGGAAACAAATAAAAATGTCAGTAAGCTGTCTTCTCTTGTGCTATATATATATATATATATATATATATATATATATATATATATATGTGTATAGCCTGCATATCACCCATGTAGGGAGAGACCAGAGGAATACATTGAACGTTTTGACAAAAACTGTTTCTTAGAAAGGAGCTGAGCAGTTCAAAATCATTGTGATATCAGAATAAATATTTAAACGTTTGCAATTTGGTGGTCTTCTGCTTGTCCAGAATTTCAAATAGGAATAATATAACACAGTTAGGGTCATTAGAACCATCTTGCAGGTGCATGCCTGTTAGGGGCACTGTGGCAAAAGCCACTTTGCCACTGGGGTTTGGAGGGGACTACTTGCCAGCCTTTTACCATGTGACTATGGCCCCTGCTATAGACCTGGCTAAAATACTTCAAACAGGCTCTGTTCGTGCAATTGGCACTATATGGTTCGTTTACCGAACAATCGCACAAACAGAGACCACCCTGGAGCTTGTTAACACCTATTAACAACTTGGAACGTTTCTCACCGCAGTGTTCTAATTGTTCGTCTGGGTGGCTGCGATTCCTATGAACAACCTCGAGGTGGCGGCCATATTGTTCGCATGAATGCAGGCAGCGGTGTTTAAGCATGAATCTCATGGAACTGAAATCAGATACAGAAATTCCTGAACACCGCTGGACTTCCATCATTACCTGCATACATTTCTATTCAGCTTAGAAGGGCACTGTTCGGTGAGATTATTCGTCTGGATGAAGGTAACAAGCTCCAGGGTAAGACTATTGACTCTGTAGTTTGTTAGTTTGCAAACTACCGAACTAGACTGGCCGCAAGTCCTGATTCTATGGAACTGTTTTGGGCATGGGACCATGCCTGTGGTCGGTCAAATACATAACTTCCATAAAATTTCTGAACCCCTGAACTGATCTGGGTGATTTTTTTGTTATGTTGGTCACCCAGATCAGGGCTATCAGGGGATGTTACATTTGTGGGGATTGTATGTGGTTTAAGGTGGTTTTTGAGGTTTTGTATAAAAATGTTGTTGTTTTTTTTGTTTTGTTTGTTTGCTTAAGGCGGTTGTGGAGTTTGCAGTGCTTGTGGTGTCCGGTGCGGTGCTTACGGTCCTCAGCATCAGTTAGGAAGCATCTGTTGGCAGAGGTACCCAGTCAGGGTCCCAAGTGATCAGGCACTACATGTGCCTGCTGTGCCTGTTAATCTGCTGCTGGTTGGGCATTGGCATCTGATGCTGCAAGACTCTGCTAGGTTCAGTATCAGGGAGTCTGATCTTTGCATGGCTCTAGCCCCCCCACACACCCCCGCCCCCGACTAAATCTTGACCTCCAGCAAAGAGGAGGGAGAGGACTGGGGCCAATATATACACCTCAATAAATCATGGCAGACACACAGACTGCTATCAATATTATATTACTCATGCTACTACAGATGCTACATACCTCCCAACAATCAGGAGTGTAAAATCGTGTAGGGTGGATGTTGTTCGAAGGTGCTTTGCCAGTGACAAAACTTGTGTCACTAGCAATCCCAATAATGGACAGGCATGCCTGGAAAAGTGGCGACCAGCCCCTCGCCTTCTGGACCATACAGGGAACACTGGTGAAGAACTTCCTGCATGGCTTTAGTGCCCTCGCCATCTGAAGTCCCAGATGGTGGACATCTGGGAACTAAAGTGGAACTGGACCCAAAATCGTGACTCCGAGAGCAGACAGGAGCCCTGATGCTGCAACTTACACTGCTGCTTGCATACACACAGACCTAAACATGCAAGCCTCCCTAATTTCAAATGGACACAGTGCCACACTTCAATATTAGTGGTGTGAATGGGGTTGTGGCTAGTGTATAGATATTTGGAGAAATTTTAGATGACTTTCTAATAACAATGTATGCAACTAAAATGGAATTTAGAATGGTATGCACATTCATAAACATGCACACAGACACATTGACACACTGCTTCACACAAACACATATACATTCTACAAAATGTATTTTTTTCATCAAGTTGTGTGGCTTCCATTTTTTTTTTTTGAAAGGGGGGCTTCAGAATTCTGTGACTACTAATGCTTGCGATGTAATTGCACTGTGGCAATAGGCATTTAAATGCCTATTTAAAGATCTGTATGCATCTCTATGCATCGTTTGATTTGAGCACTGCATAAGCACAGCTGTCAATCTGGGGCTACTAAGAAATAGCCACAGCTAACAGAGATGATTCCAAGGTATCTACTGATACATATGACTTACTGGTGTGAGTATAGATTTATCTAGCAGGGATAAATCTATACTCACACCAAAACTGCAGGATTACATGTTCAATGTCATTCTAACACTGTAACAGCCCATTCTGTTAGGGATGGCTTGGGACATTCTAACCTAGAGAAGGGGTTAAAGATGCATTACTGTCAGTATTATTGCTGATTAGCTCTATTTAAGCTAACGCAGTTAGCAGTTAACAGTTAACACTAAAGCTAACACAGTTCTATACACACAGACACACTAAAAATAAGGAGCCTATAGTAAAGAGAGCAGGTGGTTGGGGGCAAAATAAGGACTGTCCTTAATAAATCGGTACAATTGGGAGGTATGTAAATAGACAAGACATCCACATACATGACAACAGCACCTACTTTTTCCAACTGTGTGTTTCAGTTGGTGAGAGTAAAAGGGCATCAAAAATTCCAACAATCCTGCACTTGCGTATTTTACACGCTGTGTTTTGAGGGTGGGACTTTATATTTATGTAATTTGTGTAGGCTTCACATACCCATTATACATATGCAGTCATAGATCTACCTAGACACACACATACACTACACTCCGTGAATGTCAATTGTCCTGAGTTCATAATGGCTCATGCATGCATTTGGGGCTCGGCATGGTGGAAGGAGACTGGGCTGTGCATGCCACATGCGGAACTTAAATAGGTTCTGATGTCAAAGAAAAAAGTAAACCTGTAGAGCAGGTAGTCATACAACTGCAGAAAGTTTTGCAAATGGCTACAGCTCTAAACCAGTGTGTGCAGGGACACAATGACATCACAGGACTTTTTTGCTCCATAACCTATGCTCATGGCACAAGTTATCATAGTTTAGAACACAGGATGTTTTACCAGCATTATGGGATTTGTAGTCTACAACATCTGGAGTGACCCTTCAAACCAGAGCTGCAACTTCACTGGTAGTGAGAGATCCTTGTCCCACTCATCTCAGTAACCACTACTGAAACATTAACTGGGGTGCATGATTTTAGGCCAGGGGTGCCCAGAAGGAAGATCCCCAGATGTTTTTACAACTAAAGCTTCCATGATGCTTTGCCATTCTAACGGCATTCAAAGCATTGGTAGAGTTGTAGTTCAACATGAAATGGAGACCTACCATTTGGGCACCCCTGTTTTAGAGAGTAAAAAGATGAAAAAAACTACTTACCGGTGCAGTAATTCTGCATTGTGGTACACTCATGCGCAGCCTGGAATTAACAAAAAAATGTAATTCGAGTGTATGCATGCTCAGGCATTCTTTCAATAGTGCATTATGTGTGCATGCATATGGCCATGCATGGGTTAATCTAACATGCCATGTCCAGCATATGAGCATTTGAATAGCATGACATTTTTATGTATGTATTTATTTATTTGCTACCCATTCAGTTGCACAAAAATCCCTCAAGTGATAGTTCTGCTTTAAATCAATCCATCGCTCCCTCTGTGCTGGACAATACTTACATTACCAAGAGGTTAATGCTGGCTAAGGCATCCTTAAATCCCCAGCGCAGCAAAAGTTTATTTTCATGACTGAGATGGAGATTCAATAAATAATGTTCTTTTACATTATTATTTATTTTGTCAATATATTGGATACTTTGTAAAATCGCAAAAATTTACAATTTCTATTCCGCAGCCATTAAAGTAATGCATGATGAAAAGATTAGTATGCTTTTGAGGAATGACCTCTAGTTCTGCCTGATAGGATAAGTGTTTTTTTGTGAAAATGTTTCCTTTTTATTCTTTTTATATGGGAGCCATTTAAAAAAAAAAAAAAATTAAAAAAAAATATTTTTCCCCTGCCCACACGTTTGTGAATGTGCTCACACCAATGAGAAGCTATGCAAGCAAGCTCAAAACAAGCATGAGCCAGCAATATGCTTATTGCAGACGTACACAGCAGTGCAGGAGTTAAGATGACTTTGTAAAGATCTTTCCTATAAACTGTCCTGGTAAGCAGAGAACCTTATCCAGTGCTTTATGTGTAGCATGATACAGGCACATAAAGCCACAGAAAGGGGAGAAAAAAAAAAAGAAGAATAATCTATTCAAGAGCTGATGAGCCTTTGGAGCCAATGGGAGGAAACCTTCGGCTAATCAGTAGGCGGGAGGTTCAGAGTATCCTTGAAGAACATAAGTGTTTTAAGCTACTGTAGTGATGTATGATTATAATCTGTGTTTCCGTCCTCTTGTTCGTAGAGCAGGGATCTGATATACATGCTGCTTTGCTGGGAAAAAATGATCTGATGTGTTTTTTCTTTTGAACCATTTTATTATGATTCACCAAGCTTTGGCTGTTAAGCTTTTTTTCCCTGTTGTCTCATCCTCTTCAGGGCTGCGCTATTGTGGACAAGAGGGCCTCCTGTTTCTTAGTTTTTGGGAAACGATGGAGAGAAGTGAAAGTCAGCTTGATAACAGTCAAGAGAAATATGAAAGTCTGGCTTTGGACACTGCCTTGAGCACCGTGGTGGTGGTACTGGTATATGTGGTTGTAAAGGTTAGTCTAGATGGGATTCGACAGTGGAGAGCTAGAGTATCCATTCTAGTGGTGGGTGCTGGACCGGTTGGGTTGACCGCTGCACTGGTTGCTGTCCGGTCAGGGAAAGTGCTGAATCTAACAGTCTTGGATGAGCGGTCAAGAGCTGCTCTACTATGCAGACCGCAACAAATTGCCTTGAGCCCTCGAAGTGTCAAGTTTCTCCTCGTCCTTGGCGTGGACTTTGATAACATTGAAGGATGTTGGCGCAATGACCACTTTTTCACGAAGATAGGTGTTTTTCAGGAACATCTTCTAAGTATCCTGAAACAAAGGAAACAAACACTCGATATCCGAATTCTTCTGGGGACCAAAGTAAGTTTTTGTATGCATTGTATTTAAAGGGACACTATAGTCCTCCCACTGCAACTTAACGCAGTGGTTCTGACGTAAACAGTGTATGTATTTCAAGGTTAATATTGTGAGATTGATTCTTCCTTAGTCCTAATGCAGTCAAACACTTAAGATCAGTTATGTTGCCAATTCTGGATGAAACATGTAATTGAGCATTAAGGGGTTAAAAAAGGGTTATTTCTCTGCTCTGCAAAGTAAAGAAAAATTAATTATGCCACCAATTGACATGGACTGCATTACTCCTTTGTTTGTAGCCTTTAGTAAATGTCACTTTTTTTTTAATTTTATTTTTTATGTTGTAGTTGGTTGTTAAAGCAACATTGTCAGAATCCTGATCACTTTCCAAAACTGAAATTTTGGAGAAACAAACCAGATTTTTAAAAACGATTCTGTGTTATTTGCTAAAAGAACATAAATACCAATTTGTTCAATGCGTGTGTGTATTTTCGGAGTGTCTTACTTCAGGATGCAGTCATTTTCAGATGTATTGGATTTCCGGTTTAAATATGCTCCTGTATAGACGTTCACTTTTTGGACCAAAGTCAGAGTTGCAAAATTGCTTCTCTTAAAGAATCAGAAATGTATTGAGGAAAAAAAACAAAACATGCATATCTTTATTTATATTTTTAATGGAAAGTTTTATATAAACAATACAAGCAGAGAGCAGTATTGAATATCGTGTTACATATAAGCAATTCAATAACCACAATAATGAGCTTGTATAAACTGGATTAACAACACACATGTAAATTTGTAATACGTGTGTGATGGGTGGATTTTCATTTTGAAAATTCTGCTAATTATGAGAGAAAAGCAGAGGTGTTAAATAATGCTACGAATGAACAGAGTGGGACTAGCAACAAGAAGAATGTTTAAACCATTTTATATTTTTATTTCATTTTATTTAAATGTGCATTAACCACAAAAATAAAATAAATAAAATAAATATATCTCTAATCATGCTAAAATAATGTGAATAGAAATATCTCACAACAGTATAAAAAGAACATCAAATCGAACGCTATATTTTTTTTATTTTTTTATGTGCTTTTTAGTTTCCTTTAAACTATAACAGATTTAAATATATACCAGCTAAAATTATTGTGCTGCAATTTGCCTTTTCTCTTCTCCTATCTTGAGTTCTAAACCAGGTGCCTGGTTTGTTGTAATATTTTATTTTTTTTTCCAATTTCATAAGTAAATTGTATGTAATGGGACATGTTCGTGTTGGAGATACTTTTTGAATGAAAGATTAGGCCAGAGACCGTACATTTAATAAAATACTGTTCTAGGAGATCATTTGGTGTTGGAAGGGTTTACATAGTCTTTAGATAAGCAAATAGTGCTTGCATTATTATTATTTTATTTTATATAGCGCTTTACAATTCTACAAAGGAGATACCTGACACAGAATATTAACAGAGCCAAAAGGTGAACAAGGCGGAGAGCTCCCTGCCCGGCGCTGGAGAAAGGTAAATTTTAACCCCTTTCCTCTCCCCAGAGCCGGGCGGGAGGGGGACCCTGAGGGTGGGGGCACCCCCAGGGCACTATAGTGCCCTGAAAACGAGTATGTTTTCCTGGCACTATAGTGGTCATTTCAGTGTTTTTTAGTCAAGCACATCCTACTGATCATAACATCATGCCGTGGGGCTAGTGTCATGAAGTTCTCCCCCAGATTCCAGCACCATCTTGTATACTGTCGACAGGAGGGGTACTTTTATAGCGGCCATTTTGAGTATATAAGTTTAGTTTTAATGGAGGATATAGGCATTTTACTAAATTGTTTATTATGTCCTTAACACTGCTACCCAATATTCTGTCCTCTTATATATTTATGTATCCTGCCATTAACTTCCAAATCTACTTGACTAGTGAGACTTGTGTGTGTGTGTGTGTGTAATTGAAATAAAAGAGCAGGAAAAAAAAAAAGATTTAACTCCTAAATGTCAGAGAATTGAGCAGTGCAACTGCATGAGCATGATCTATACAACAAAACTGCTTCATTAAAGGAACCCTAAAGTCACCAGGGTAACTACAAATTAATGTAGTTGTTGTGGTGTTTATATGTCCCTGCAGGCATCTTAACGTAAACCTTGCCATTTAAAAGAAAAAGCAGTGTTTACATTACTGCCTAGTGACACCTATAGTGTCAAAATTGATGATCTCAGCCAAGAAGACAAAGTGTGGGTGCTGCCAGCCGCAAGGAGAGCCGCACAGGGCTGGATAAAGGCTTGTAAACTTTTTCACAGAGCTGTGGGGGCAAGGGGCCGAATTCTAAATGGTGTTTTCCCACCTTTTGTGTCAGGAATGCATGTTTATATTCCTGACACTATATAGTGTTCGTTTAAGACAGGTGCTCAAAATTTCCACTATACATTAGCCATTGTCGAGTGAAAATTCAGTCCTGGTTACTGTGCTACGGACACTCTAGGCTTGCTGTGATGACTAACTTTGTTAGGCCTGACTAACAGTGTAAGGCTTGATATTGTGAATCCAGATTAGGAATGCTGAGTGAGACTGACTAATTTAGGCAGGTGGTAGATTATTGATTGATGTCCACAATTAAAGAATTGGGTGTCTCTGTGAACCATGTAATGTGTCATGCTTAAAGGGACCCTTCACTGCCCAAATACAATATAAATAAAAAGAACTGCTTGGTAGCTATACCCCAAATGAAAACATGCATGCATTTTTTTCTCATTGGAGTTATATACATATAAACAGCTCTTGTCTGCAGCTTTTGCAGACCCCCCCTATTCCCCCCTGCCCAGACTTTATGTAGTTGTCTAATCACAGTCTTCCCAATGCAGCTCTTTGCAAGGCAGTTGCTCTGGGAAATTGCTGCCTCTTGAGGTCAGTGCAACAAAGCAAACCAAACCAGGAAGTAACAGAACTTGTCTGTTTGAAAGCCGAGGAGATGTAACCAGGTTAATTTATAAAAGTGTAAATTTTATAATGAAATCTGCACTTTTTACAAAATGAAAAAAATGGGGAACACTTTTTTGCACATAAAGGTTTTCAGCAAGCTAATGTGTTTTAGGGGTCTCTAGTGTCCCTTTAAACTCAGTCTGTCAATGTTTCACTTTTTAAATTTTATATATATATCGTTGATATAGAATTTATTTCTACTAATTTGTATTCCCATTCCAGTCAAGCCTGGAATTGGAAAACCAGACATACAAGATATTGGTGCCCAAAAAAGTAAACAAAATTTTAGAAATTAAAGTAAATAAAAATTTAATTTAATTTTTAAATTAAAGTAAATAAAAATTTCTCTGCACGTCCTTTTTATTAATCTGTCTTCAATACAAAAAACTGCAACGTTTCGACCACAACTCTGGTCTTTGTCAAATATGAGGTGAAATCAGGTACATGTGGACCCTGTGGGTAGGTGCTGTTTCTCCTTGTTACATATTGTGATGGTAATACTGCTCCAACTGCAAATGATGAGAGAGGAGAAAAATGGGAATAGGCATAAGTTGGAAAATTTTACATTTGGAAAGAGCTTTAAATACATGGTGATTTCCTTCCTATTGGATATATACAATCATGGCAATATCTGCCATGGTTCTAACTGGTGTGCTGCTTAACCATATGTCTGTGTGTGTGTTGTGTATAATATCTCAGCAGACGTTGTGGTCCTCCATACATTTTTTTCCAGTTTTAATTTATTTTTTTTTATTTATTTTTTTCGTGTGTCTGTGCCCTTTGTTGGCTCAGTTTACAATTTTTGCTAAAAGGAGTGGAACCTCGTGTGGTCTCTTACTGCTTCAGGCCAATCTCTAACCAACAGTTCTAACTTTAAGGTCCTTTCTCACGCTCCAGATTTTAGTTCCTTTGTGTCCTGTATCCGGGGACACCGGGGAATGGATCTCTGACAGCACAGTGATAACGCATATTAGACACACTCACACTGTGCACAGGCACGAGGACCCTGCAGAGAGTGATTCAGCAGAGCTCTCTACGAGATCCTGCAGGTTGGGGACCAGATAAGCAGGCCCCTTCAGTCCTTCTTAATGGGAATGCCAGCTGCGTTTCCAGTTGGGCCCTCCCACTAAGGGTTTCCCCCGTGATGCAAGTCGTGACTGGTGATGCCCTCTATCAGGCCCACCCACCCGTCCAGATCCTAAACCTTCCAATGTTAGGAGATATGACTTCATAGTTTAAAATTTTTTATTTTTACAGATGCTTTTCAGTATAGTCAGGGCCGGATTAACATAGGGGCTGATGGAGCTGCAGCTCCAGGCCCAGGCCCATGGAATAGGCCCATTGATTAAAAAAAATAAAAATAAAAAAATTTTTTTTTTTTACATTTTTTTTCCCACACACTACTCTTAGGGATTCCACCTGGCTTTTATTTTATTGGCACAGCCAGTATTTGAGGCTGCCTGGCTGGTGCCAATATTGCAGTGATACTGGCAATACAAATGCTGGTATTTTTCTCAGTATAAACAAGAGATTTCTATGCAATACCAGCACTGGCCAGTAGGGGTCGCTGTATGTGGAGACAGGCAGGGATAGGAAGTTCCAGCATATCCCTCCCTGCCTATCTATACTCACTGATCTGCAGGGGTACAGCTACAGAGAGTCCAGACAGCAACTCCCACCATGCAGAGACAGCCTACAGCTCAGGGACGTAAGGGATGGGGGGAAAGGCTGCAAGGAGACATACACTGAGACACTAAGGGACATTGGGAGACATTATGACACAGACACATGGGGACGTCTCAGTGCCCCTCAGTAGTCTCCCAGTGCCCCCAGTCTGCCAGTGTCTCACTGTCCCCATGTCTCCTAGTGTCTCCATGTCTCTCAGTGCCTCAAGTGTCACAATGTCCCCATGTCTCCAAGCTAGTGTCCCTAGTGTTTGTGGCCCTGGTGTCTCAGTGTCCCCATGTCTCAATGTCCCCATGTCCCTCAACCAGTGTCTCTAGTGTCTGTGTCCCTGGTGTCTGTGTCCCCATGTCTTCAAGTGTCCCCTATTTTCCCATTGTCCCCATGTGTCCCAGCCAGAGTCCCCTAGTCTCCCAGTGTCACTGGTGTCTCCGTGTCCCTAGGTCTCCCTGTGTCCCCAGGTCTCCCGTCTTCCTAGTGTCCTAGTGACATGGGGACCCTGGGGAGACATGGGGCATTGAGATACTGTGATACATAGGAGACCTGGGAGACCTGGGGACACGACACTAGGGGACACTGGGAGACATGGGGCACTGAGTCACTAGGGGACACTGGGAGACATGGGGCACTGAGACCTGGAGTAATCGACACATGGGGGCACTGAGTCATGAGGGCACTGGGAGACATGGGGGCACTGGGGGAAATCCATCTATACAGCAGAATCAAACTAGTTTTTTGGTGATTTTACAGCATTTTCTCTTATGTCACTCCTTGTGATTTACATCATGTGATGTCACCCATACATATTTAATTATGCAAATTGTTTTTCCAAGAAAGGTGGCAACCCTAACTAGTTTTCACATACTCTTACTTAAGTATGGAAACTTAAGAGGGATGCATGGGAACAAAACTTGTGTGGACTGGCTGACAATGAATATAGTTAAAGGGACACTATAGTCACCAGAACAACTACAGCTTATTGAATTTCTTCCTGGGTCATGGCTGCCTAAAATGCATCCAAACATTCAGTGTCTCCTCCCTCTGCATGCAGACACTGAACTTTCCTCATAGAGATTTATTAATTCAATTCATCTCTATAAGGAGATGCTGATTGACCAGGCCTGTGTTTGAATCATGCTGGCTCTGACTCTGGTCAGTCTCAGCCAATCCTATGGGGAAGCACTGTGATTGGATCAGGCCATCACTTCTAATGATGTCAGCAGACTGCTTGTTTTTATGAGTCTAATAGCATGCAAAGTTACAGCTTCAGGCTTGAATATAGTAAGATTTTGTTATATTTATGGAGGCATGAGTGGCCCAGGGGGGCTAGATGGTGGTGTTAACACTGTAGGGTCATGAATTCATGTTTGTGTTCCTGACCCTATAGTGATCCTTTAAGGTAATGCTGACTTTGGTCTCTCTAACACTGTGGCATGTTCCCTTTCTTCTACACTCACTACATACAGCTTTTCTCTGTCCCAGACTATATACCAGGAGCTTCTGCCTGCTAGTAAGATGGTAAGGAGACAAGAGGCCCAGCGAGTGCTAGGGAACAGTCCTTAGAAAGCGTTGAGTGAGCGCATCATTAGATGCATTTATGCCAAACTCAGGATGCTGTCTGCATAGTATGCCCTTAGTTGGCCAGCAGCATGATTGGCAGGCAGCCTGACATGCATTCATGCCAGGCTGGCCTTCTAATTCTTTGAGCAGACATGTCCTCTTTTTGGGCATGTTCGCCCCTTTTGCAGGTTACGTGATTTGTGTCAGTGGCACACCCTTTTACCATGCCCATTGACTTTCTGCTTGACTGGACACTGCTGTTAGGGGTTATGGATTTACTTGAAAGATGAAAACATAAATTAGTGAGAGATTAGCCTAGGGTATGTGTTTTCTTATAGCTGCTGTTTTCTTTCTCTCCAGGACCATCTCCATCAGATACATGACGCTTGGGAGTGTTTTAATGGTTTTGGTCGATATGATTCTTTAATGAGGCCCGTCATAATTGTCAGCACCAGGCCCACTGGGCTCTTAATCTGGCCCTGAGTATAGTATGCATAGCTATTTCAGTTATGGTCTTGTAGCTGTCCTCTTAAACCAGCCTTTACATGATTATCTGACCTCTTATTAAAATAACACTCCAAGCTTAACCAATTTAGCACACTGTAATGGTTATCATGCCAGGAGTGTCCTCATACCTTCCAAGGGTAACTTGTCAGCGGTGTGAGAACTCGCCTGGTTTGACAAATAACTCTGCTCGGGTGACAGGGCTTACTACAATAGGCTGTAGTGCATATGATACTTGGAGTGTTCTTTTAAGAAAGCATTTTCACTCCCAGAACTACAGCTTGACTGTGCAATAATTAAGAAAATCTGCAGTTTCTGATGAACACAAATTATTGCATCTACAATCCCATATCTTTACCAATGATCAGCTTGAACATATATTGAATCTTTTTAGCATGTAAGCATTAATGCTATAGAGTTGTTGCAACGTGACTTGGTAATTGGCCAACTGCATTAATATATAGGTGTAACCAGTAGTGTGTGTGTGTGTGTGTGTGTGTGTGTGTGTGTGTGTGTGTGTGTGTATGTATGTATGTATGTATGTGTATATATATATATATATATATATATATATATATATATATATATATATATATATATATATATATATATATATATATATATATATATATATATATATATATATTACACAAGATCCAGCGCACTCACCTATCCACTAAACAGCAACTTCAATGTTGAAAGATTTTATTTGTTTTTTTTAAAAACCTAATCTAGGCAAAAATAATGGGGGTTTAGTTACATTATATGATCATACAGTGCATAAGCCTGCCACAACGTCAATGTACCCCATCTTTGGCAGGTCCTACACTAACAGCCTAATGTCTGCTCTTATGAGATTAACCTACTTGGGGAAAGAAATTCCATCTGGGGCTCTCTGCAGTACAAGGCCAAATAGGGCCCTTTCAACATTGAAGTTGCTGTTTAGTGGATAGGTGAGTGCGCTGGATCTTGTGTATTGTATTATTTGGCCCCCAGCAGCACCCCCATTTATGCATGTTAAGGTGAGTGCAGCCAACCCCCTCTTGTTTTGTTTTATTTATATATATATATATATATATATATATATAATATACACACACACAACTTACAGATATTCCATATGGGTGCCTGGAGAGCCCAATTTAATGTGTTTGGCAAAAGTCTTAGAGTTTAAGATCTGTGTAAATATCACAGTTATGAAGCAAAATATGTGAAGGTTCTATTTTGGCATTAATAGAATAAATGTAGTTAAAAAAACAAATCTAATTGAAAACAGCAGTTACAACATTGCTTAGGGAAAAGACTTGGTCGAGTGAGTAGTTCAGATATATCTGTTTGTAGATTACTGCCAGAGTATTCGGACCTTGAGTGAGCTGCTGTGAAATGTAACATTTGAAACATCAACAACAAAATTGGTCTGTTTGTTAGCCAGTGTTGTTATGGAGAAAAATAAAGTGGTGTTATACAATGGTAAACAACACCTACAAATTAACTGTGACACACCAAATTATAGATATGGATGCGTAAAGAGGAACAGTGTGGTATGAAAAAACAAATGATATTAAAAGGTTTCTAGAGACCTATTAAATTGTAAGACTGAAGGGTAAGTAGTTTATAAATGTTCCTAAGATTTTTTTTATTTTTTTTTTGGTTATGGTAGTGTAGGAGTTAATTATTTTTGGGCCTCCCCGTAGAGCAGGGGTGGCCAAAAGATTGCAGGAGAATATTCACATGTAGACATACATTGTCACACACAAACACTGCCACATGCAAGGACACACACACATACACAGATATAATCCAATAAATACACACACACACACACACAGTCACGTATGCACAGATGCAAACCCTGACATACGTGCACAGATCTACACCCTGTCTCAACTGCATAGTTCAGCACACTGACACATATTCCTGTAGTTGTTATGGTGTCTATAGCCTGTCTCTATGTAAACACTGCCTTTCCGGTTACCCTTATAGTAGCAATCACTCATCGGCACGTCATTTTGCCATGAATGCGCAATAGCCTCCCAATGCTTTCTTATGGCCATTATATGTTTGTGTTCCGGACACTATAGTGTGCATTTAGTAATCTGGTCTTGTTAAAAATAAATAAATTACTGATTTTAAGTGAACTTCAGTCAGTTTTTAAAGGAACACTATAGTCTCCTAAATTACTTTAGCTAAATAAAGCAGTTTTAGTGTATAGATCATTCCCCTGCTATTTCACTGCTCAATTCACTGTTATTTAGGAGTTTAAATCACTTTGTTTCTGTTTATACAGCACTAGCCACACCTCCCCTGGCTATGATTGACAGAGCCTGCATGAAAAAAAAAAACTGGTCTCACTTTAACAAATCTAATTTAACTTAAATAATTGTATCTCAATCTCTAAATTGAACTTTAATCACATACAGGAGGCTCTTGTAGGGTCTAGCAAGCTATTAACATAGCAGGGGATAAGAAAATCTTAATTAAACAGAACTTGCAATAAAGAAAGCCTAAATAGGGCTCTCTTTACAGGAAGTGTTTATGGAAGGCTGTGCAAGTCACATGCAGGGAGGTGTGACTAGGGTTCATAAACAAAGGGATTTAACTCATAAATGGCAGAGGATTGAGCAGTGAGGCTGCAGGGGCATGTTCTATACACCAAAACTGCTTCATTAAGCTAAAGTTGTTCAGGTGACTATAGTGTCCCTTTAAAGCAAATCCAGATCATTGGGATCAAGTGTTCAGATGTCAACTCACCTTCAGGGGCTAACCCATTTACCCCCACAACGGCATCCGGCTAAAGCTCTGGACACCCACTGAGAGAAATCGTACATAGCTGAAGTTCCAATTATAACCAAATACATTTGTCTTCACAATTTATACATATGCTACACCCAACTGTATTGTGTATTTCAGAGAAGGAGTTCGGTTTCAGGCAGAGGATCTATCTGTCTTGCAAGGGCGCTAATAACTGGGTTATTAATGTTAGAATTGTTGGGAATTCAAAGTGATTTCACATTTAATACAGTTAAAAAACATAGAAACACAGAATGTGATGGCAGATAAGAACCATTCGGCCCATCTAGTCTGCCCAATTTTCTAAATACTTTAATTAGTCCCTGGCCTTATCTTATAGATAGGATAGCCTTATGCCTATCCCACGCATGCTTAAACTCCTTTACTGTGTTAACCTCTACCACTTCAGCTGGAAGGCTATTCCATGCATCCACTACCCTCTCAGTAAAGTAATACTTCCTGATAGTCTTTAATTAGAGGGGCAAAGGTTTAAAAACAATATGTTCTCTTGTAGTGGTAGTTTTTCTTCTTTTAATTGTGCATCACATTGACACATTTAAGTCTTGTGTTACTGGCCTGAAATTGACTTACCCATCATGTTTTTAATGACTCTTGTCAACCTTGTATAGACACCAGTATTCATGTGTGTGGCATTGTGTCATAGGCTTTCTTATATTGTACACAATGTCATTTCAACTATCTTCCCAGGAACCCGTGTTATGCCCACCAAGCACTGCCGGTGTAGAACGTTGGGTGAGCATCATGTATGGTGAAAGTTTGTGTGGGGAAAGAGCACTAAATAAAAAGTTTGTGTTTTAGTACATTTTACCCTCAAATACAAAATGACCATATTTTAATAACCACAGTTTTTGCAGAAAAGAGAGCTAATCTTAAGGATTTTAACTCCTTAACGCCACTGGGCGTTCTATGCCATTCTGAAAAATGTGATCGCAGCACACCCTGGCTCCCCAAACTTGCTTAACGCGGCAACCTGGTTTGGTGGTACTGACGGACAATCCAGATCACGATCACATGACAAATTCACACGATTTATTTAATAAAATACTTAGAATATATATTTTTTGTGTGTGTGTGTGTGTGTGTGTGTGTGTGTGTGTGTGTGTGTGTGTGTATATATAATATATAACAATTTGTAGAGTAGAAAAACAAAAAAGCAAACAAACTTGCAGACACCTAGCAAAGTCTTCCAGGTCTTTATAAATGTTTATCTGACACTAGAGTTTGGTTTCAAAGTGTGATTTGTCTGAATTTTGGGCGATCTGAGGTTCCTATGAATTCTGTAACTTCAAAACACTATGTGGATGAATCTTAAAAGAAACCAAACTGACAATAGACAAACTATTTTGTTTTGGATTCGGTCTGTGATGCCAAAATACAAACAAACCATGATTGATGGGGAAAAAAGGTGCTTAAGGGTCAGCAACTAAATGTTAATTTTATTCACAGATCGAAAGAGAAGTGACCAATATAGGTATAAAAATAATGAGCAGTATTTAAAAAAATAAATAAAAAAAAATTATAAATATAAATAAAAAAAAAATAATAATAATATTATTATTATAATATTATAAATAAAATTATAAATATAAATAAAAAAAATATATATATATATATATATATATATATATATATATATATATATATATATATATATATATATATATATACAAAAATATACTCTAGATTTATTTATTATATTGTATAATTTGCAATACACCCATCACTTTTAACACCCTTTTTGTTAGTCTGGAATCACCTTTCCAAAAACTAAAATTAATCAGAGCTAAAACTCCATATGGACAAAACCCAAATCGACAATTAAAAAGAATTAAAAAAAATCAAACTTTGACATTATCCCCGTTTGACACCAGAGTTTTCTTTGTCAACTGACAACACTAAGGAAGTGTACTCTCTAGCTCTTTATTTTATAGAATACATTCCAAGTAAATATTTAAACAGTAACTCTGTGTTCCAATCATACTGCAATTAAGTAATGCGTTTAACAATACCAGCCAGACCCGTCTGCTCGGTAAGGAACAATGAGCTTATTAAACTATGCCAACAGAAAGCAAAATTAATGCCTTTAGAATCATTTGTCAACTATGATAAGCTCTGTCATGGTGGGAATCTTTCGTTTGCACACTGCAAAGAAAACCACAATTATTCAAACAGGAAACCTAGACCCGTCCGCACAATAAAAACCCAGGTATTCAAGACGAAGGATTTGTTGACATTTATTGGTAGCGTTCCACAGAACACTCGCACTTTGTCTATTGTCTTATGAAACAGAACAAGTACATTTAAGAGAGGGTAATGTCTTATTTTGGTTCATAGTTTAGACCTTCCAATTATAACTATTATTATTAACTTTATTGCAAGCTGAGCTGACAGTTGTGAAATTTGAAACTTACTATGTTATCACTAAAGTGATATTTGTTGAGAATTTAGATTGAATACAAAGTGAAGTTCTAATTTAAGGTCCATAATAGATACACGGGAAAACATCTCCAATTAAGCTATGCTTCCAGTTTGACTACAATGGCCTTACATTTGATATTCACTTTATTATTATTATTATTATTATTATTATTATTATTATTATTATATTTATAGAGCGTCGTCAAATTCCGCAGCGCTTTACAATGGGTGGACGAACAGACATGTAGTTGTAACCAGACAAGTTGGACACACAGGAACAGAGGGGTTGAGGGCCCTGCTCAATGAGCTTACATGCTAGAGGGAGTGGGGTAAAATGACATAAAAAGGTAAGGATAGTATTAGACTAGTGACAGTTGCAGAAGAGGAATCAGTCAGAAGCTATTAACAGTTTAATTGATACGCTTTTATGAAGAAGTGGGTTTTTGATGATTTTTTTTGAAGGAGTGGAGACTGGGTGAGCATCTAACGGAGGAGGGAAGCGAGTTCCACAGGAATGGAAATCTTGGTGGGAGTACGGACAGAAGCTAGACGTAAGTCTTCAGCAGATCGTAAGGGCCTAGACGGGACATACTTGTGTATAAGGGAGGATAGATAGGTGGGAGCAGCATTATGTAGAGATTTGAAAGCAAGAACCAGAATTTTAAATTGAGCTCTATATTTTATAGGAAGCCAATGTAGGGACTGACAGAAGGGTGAGGCATAGGAGGTGCGGGCGGACAGGAAGATAAACCTCGCCGCTGCGTTCATTATGGACTGTAACGGCGCAAGTTGGGAGCACGTAAGACCACGGAGAAGCAGATTACAGTGGTCAAGGCGAGAAAGGACAGTGGAATGGACCAACACCTTAGTCGCATCTGGCGTTAAGTAGGGGCAGATGCGCGCAATGGTTTTGAGATGGAAATGACAGGATTTGGCGGATAGATTGAACATGAGGCTTGAAGGAGAGGTCGAAGTCAAAGAGAACACCTAGGCAGCGAGCCTGCAAGGTGGAGCTGATGGTAGCACCGTTGACTTGGAGGGAGACAGACACAGGAGTAACAACACTTGAGGGAGGAAAGACCAGAATTTCAGTTTTGGTCAAGTTTAGTTTAAGGAAGTGGGCAGCCATCCAGTCAGAGACACTAGTCAAGAGGGACGGGGAGAGATCAGGAGAGGACAGGTAGATTTGCGTGTCATCTGCATAGAAATGATATTGGAAGCCAAAGGAGCTAAAGAGTTTACCAAGGGAGGCAGTATAGATGGAGAACCGTAGGGGACCAAGGATTGACACCAACAGAGAGGAGTTGGGGAGAAGTAGAGCCAGAGAGAGAAACACTGAAAGAGCGCTGGGAGAGGTAGGAGGAGCACCAGGAGAGAGCAATATCTTGTAGTCTGATATTGCGGAGGATGAGAAGAAGCTGTTGATGATCAACAGTGTCAAAAGCCGCAGACAGGTCAAGGAGAATTAGGATAGAGTAGTGACCACGTGATTTTGCAGCGAGTAGATCATTGGATACTTTGGTCTGTGCCGTTTCCACAGAGTGCTTAGCGCGGAAATCAGACTGAAGCAGGTCCAGCAGAGAGTTGGCTCTTAGGTAGTGTTTGTTCTCCTTAGTTTCAGGCACCTTTCATTCTAAAAGCTATCTCCTGGCATGTCTGAAAGTGGTTCAAAACCCTGGACCAAGTTGTCCGGAAACTGCATGGTTACCTCATGCCGAAAACTGTTCATAACGTTCACGGTCAGTCCCGCTGAAGTGACCGGGAACCACAAAGTCCTCATGCCGAAATTAGTTCCATAGCGGTTGCGGCTAAGTACCACTGAGGAACATTTGCGGGTTTGGTTCATGCGAACGGCCGCCAGGGAGCTAGCGTTTCGAATGAAGGGAAAGTGCCAAACCAGGGGCACCCAGGGAAAGCTGCTTATGGCGGCTGGGCAGGGTAACTCCAGTTGGTGGGCAGGAGGCAAGCTTCCACACTCCTCAAGGAGTTCGTGGCAAACGATAAAGGTTGCACTGTTTTGGTGTGAGCTAATGCTAGAAAGTGGAATGCTGTAAAAAAACCTGATGAGTCTGAACCAAGGTTCAGCTGTACAATGATCAAACCTAGAACTATGAACAACTTAAAACAATAACAATAAGTTTAGAAGTAGTGAATACGTCACAAACTATATTTTAAAATTTGCTTAGCTCTAAAAAAAAATTTGGTTAAAACTAGTGTTTTTATTTTGCTGGCATTTTAGGAATCTGCACTTCTGCAACCTCAACAGATTCCATAGGAATTTCTTTAAACAGGGGAATTTGGCCATTTATGTTTACGTTATTGGTCTACATGACCGTATGTAGTACAATATATTGCCGTTGTGTCAGTACCAAACTCGCATTACGGTTCAAAGTTTCTGTCGTGTCCCTATATAGAACAGGAACTGACCAGAGCTGACCTATTACTGCCCAACCCTCTGGCCCCAGTAGGGAGTCAACAGCAATGAAGTGGTGGGAAGAGAGACCATGGATTGCCCTCTGCTCTTTGAATTTTTTTTTCATAAGATCCAAAGTGGAGTTACATTGGATGCTGACATCCTGTCCATAATGGTGTGTGTGTGTGTGTGTGAAGTCCTCTTTTATCTTGCTCCTGTCTCAAGAGTTGGCTAACACTTACACTACAGCTTTTATGCCTGTCAATCCTTCTGAAATGCTCCAGTATAGTTATCTGTAAGGCTGGACCTCCAATACCATCACCATTGCCAGGCACCATGGGTTGTCAACAGTGTCATCAATGAAAGAAGGGCACGCTGGCCAGTAGGAACATGCCATAAATCTGGACAATTATGCTGATGATTTTGTTAACCTGCGGTTTTAACATGGATCTAGACTGAAATCCAACAAAGTTTGACTCCTTACAATAGGGGAGGGGGTGTTAAGCAACCCGGCATCAAACTTACAGCAAGTTCCCTCTGTGCTGCTTATCTCCTCTCTATCTGTGTTCATGCAGGAGGTATTACCTCCTCCATGATGGCAAAATCCAATACTCCTTATAAAGAAACAGTTGGGATCTGATGTTAATGCATGCCGGGGGCTAAGTAAGCTTCCCCGTTGAAAGCATTAAATAAATGCTTACCTATGGAAGGCTTCCTCATCATGTGATCAAGTTTTACTCGATCAGTGCTGCAAAGCGCCTCTAGTGGCTGTCAGGAAGAATTTAACCCTGCAATGGAAACACAGTAGCTTCAAAAAACGTGAAATGTTTTATACACTGCAGAGTTAAAAGGGCTGGAGCACTGCATCGAAACTACTGTGTGACGAAGCTCCACCACGTCCGCTACCTAGCTACTTGCCGGGGACCTGGAATGCTTCAGTCGCCGATGCTTGACTGGGGTCTCTTCAGAGCTCTTCCACCCGACCAGGCTGCAGCTGCCCTTGTAGGCAGGGATTGTCCCCTCTGCCTATTCTGCTTTAGCCCTTCTTCTAGGCAGGGATTGTCCCTTCTGCCTATTCCTCTGCAGCTCTGCTAACAGTGATTGATTATAGCTATTGCCTTTACAAAAGCACTTGCAGCTCTAAGGCCTAGCTCACTTGATTAATCCTAGGACTAGTGGGATCCTGCAACTAGCCAACAGGTCCAAACACTGTTTCTGGGATTACTAAAAACTCACACCGGACAAAACAAACCAGCATGCAATACTTTATTTTATTTGTGACTAGCCCATATGTTCATTACATAAAGCTTGCTGTGACACACCTACTAGTAAAATACAAATAACCAAAACATGTCAAAAAACATGCAGAGAATTATAACATTTTTATAAAAGGGTGGTAAGAACATATTAAACAAAAAACATCTCTCCTGCTTGCAGAAATGGCAATATGCAAATCTACCTGAATATGCAAATTAGCAATCCTTGCTATTCAGGTAGTGCATACAGTGGTTGCTAAATCCCTGCAACCAACAGGTGGCGCTGTACAGGCTCCAAAGCCAAATCCACTTAGTTGATTGCAAGCATTAGCAAGACAGGAGAGCACACGATCATTTAACCCCAAACAACCACATTACACACACACACCCTGCCCCCACAATGGAAACCGGGTGATTTAAACATAGGAATAGTCCATGGCCCTACATAAAATGTCCGTATTAAACCCCAGGTTATGGTGACTACTGTCACAAACTGCATTGAGATGAAGTTACCCGGGTAACTTTTTAAGTGTTTTTTTTATTTTTTTTTATCCAAGAATCATCTGAATGCTACATTTTATCAAAAAGAATTCCATCGTAGTGTAAAAAAAAAAGGGGGGGGGGGAGGAAGTCAGCCTACGCATTTTGTGCATTACCCCTTTAATATATAACAAATCTGGTTTACATTGGCCAGCTGGAAAAAATATTTATCCTTTTCTAGAAATGTTATTACAAAATATTAGTTTTTATAAAATAACACGCTCAGTAATGTGTATCCTCATCTTTAAACTTATATATCAGCTTGTTTTTACAATTATTACAATTATGATTTTGTACTCTTCTTAGTTTACAGATGATTACATGAGAAAGATGCCACAAGGGGAATGGCCAAAGATAATTATAGTTGCTGATGGATCTTGTGGGGAGTCAAGTTCCCTTCTGGGGGTCAGTTCGGAGTACATTGTTGAGTCCTGCAATGCTTATGGGGCAAATGCCGTCTTGGAAAGACCAGACCAAAGGCAGGTAATGTTTGTTCATCGGGACATTTGCACAATGTATGTATAAGTATTTGTGTGCATTAAACACTTAAAGGAGCACTATAGTCAAGATATAAAAGCAAGAAAGACTGGTACCCTAGCCTTCTTTCTTGTTTTCATACTAACTTCCCCTTAATAAAAAAAAAATTCGAGTCCTTATTTATAGATGAAACTTACCTCCGTTCCAGTGCCGAGATCCTCGGCAGGCCGCGCCCCCTTTTTCGTCAAAATGACGATGTAGCAGGGCTCAATCAGACGCTTCTTGTCATAGCGACCTGGTGCGCATTCGCGGCTTCGCGCTGCACCAATTGCGTTCATTCATAGGATGGCATTCAATGCCGCTCTATGACGAACACTGAGTGCTCTACCACGCATGTGCGCGGTATGCGCGTTTGCGAGCTGACCTGACAGCTCAGCTCGCTTTCTATGCCCGCAACGCTCCAGCCCAATGTATAAAGTATACAAACACTATATATCTCTTTTTCTATCTCTCTCATCTCCCCACACTGTCGGCTCTGATTGCTGATAGGCTCCAGGGTTAACTACAGGACACAGGAGGCGCGTTCACAGTGCCTCCTGTCTCCTGATATCACATTTGATGTATTCACCCAAGCGTGAACACTTCAAACGTGATAAATGCGAATTAGGCAGCCCTGAACTCTGAAGTCCCTCTGGTGGCCATCTGAGTGACTGCCACTGGAGGTGTTCCTAGCTTACAAGGTAAACATGTGAGAGGCTGCAGGGAGCTATTGTTCTCACCTAAACAACCTCATTAAGCTGAAGTTGTTCAAGTGACTATAGTGTCCCTTTAACATGGTTCCGAGTTATCTTGATCTAAAGCTTGTCCTGTATGTCCCACTCTCTAGTAAACACCTTGAAATAAATTCCGCTAAATGCGTATCGTACTGCTAGAGGTTTCTATGACATTCCATTATGTGTTCCAGTTTTTGTTTTGCAACTAAGTGCAGATAAAGGCCTCCACAGATATGGATCAAGATAAAGACTTACAAACCAGGGCAGTAAACAGCCATGAACTTGACATAGGAATAAACCAGCTGATCAAAGTAGATATGATATATTGATAACAAATATTATTGTGGGTACCTTAAATGGAACTCCACTGCCCAAATACAAAATCACTATTTTAGTAGATATACACCCAATGAAAACATGCATGTTTTTAACTCTACATTTTCTCCCCTAATAAGCCACAATTGTACAGTTCTAGTGTTCTATAAAGATCAAGACCATATTAATGGAATATTCAGAAATCCAGATTAAGTTTTAAGCATTTTTAGGAGAATCTTGGCAAATAAGGATAGAGTAAGCAGGGACTGATTTCCCACAGGAATAAGACAAGTTGGCTTACAGTGGTTGGCATTTATCAATGTGGTAATTGTGTAGCATGCCGTTATATTCAAGGGAATCCAAAATTATCTCAGATGCTATGGGCACACTCAGGGTTCCAATTAAGCAATTTTTTTAATTGCAATACAGCGGGGGTGGTTTACCTTTTGACCTGTGAGTGTTGTCCTAAAGTATGTGTCGAAAACAATTCACCAACTAAAGAGGAGGATTATGGAACATGTCCACTCTGTATCCACCCTCAAGGATACTCCAGTGGCCAGACATGTCAGGCATTCCACAATGATTCCCTGAGAGGCATGAGATTTATGGGGATAGAGCGAGTCATGGGTAGGAAAAAAGGGTGGTGATCTCAACTTAACCCTCAAGAAAAGGGAATTCTTTTGGATCCATAAATTGGATACCCTGGCACCTAAAGGACTAAACTAAGGATTCACCTTTACCCCCTTTATCGGTACCTAGTGTGTTATTTCATATTTGTAAATATATTGTAAATTTCCACAGGGATAGAAGAAGAAAATGTATATACACACTTATTTTGTGTGTTCAATGTGATTTATTAAATGAAAACTGACAGGTTGCATCTCTAATCCATAGTAATTTGGGTAAATGCGTATAAGGGAGCTTTTTTCATACCTTGATTCTCATGGATCAATAAGCAAGGATATAATTTCGTTCACATGACGAGATCCATTCGAGATTAAGCTTGTAAAGAAAGAGTTCTAGAACTGTATCACTAGTCAGAATGAATGCTCTATGGACAGAGCATCATTCCTGAATAGGAATACATAGCCATGTATATATGCTAACTACAGTGTAATCACTCTTATACAACCTCTCTTTAGATTTAGTTAGAGTGATTTATTTATTTTTGGTGATTTTATTTGTTCTATGTTTCCAATAAAGGTATACATTGTATATGACAATTTTATTCATTAGGGATCCTTCTGTGTCTTCTTGACCTTAGGCCACTTAGACATTTTTGTACTTATCCATGTGTAATTAAAGGGTTAACCACCAATATTGGATCTGTACACACACCATATAAGTCTCTATTAGGGATTTTTTGTCTGTCTAGGGACTGACTGTATACTTGAATTGTGGAACATAGATGCTATAAAAGTCATCCTTTTTATGAAGTTAACCAGCGACCTTAGATTGCTAAAGCTCTGTGTACGACGTGTGCGTGGTCTTCTTTTCTTGTCCGTACATCTGTCAATGATTTATTGATATTATAAAGTAAATATTATTAAACCCTTACTCTTAGAACAAGTCATACACCATACACGCTGTTCATAAAAAATAAAAACTCCAAAACAATTATCTTCTAAGACACTCTGGTAATGGTGTGAGTACAGTAAATTAACTATTGGAATGTGGCCTCAAGTCTGTGGGTTACATTTGGAAGATTTTGCAATGTATAGTTTATTGCCTGAGCTCAGAATATGCCAAACAAAGAACGCTGGCATTGTGAAACATGGACGGCTACTTTCTTGATGTCTGACAGGCTTAAAGATCTATTTCAAAGACTGATGTCGCAATTTAATATCTATTTACGTATGTTATTCTGACTCCTGAGATATTTTGAAGATGGGATTCATAAAAAAAAATATTCTAGAACTGCCACCCCTTACTGCCCGCATAATTTCAGTGCCTCTATACCCGGTTAACAAAATGAAATGTTTCTTGTTACAGAAAGTACAATAGGCCAGACTGTATTTAGTTTTTTGAGAGAACTGTCTGTCCTATCTAACAGTCATAGTGGTGGTGATGGTTTGAATTGACATTTAAGACGGCATTATTTGTTTTCAATGGGGACAAGTTTAGCCATTTGTTGCTCTGAGCATCGAAAGATTCTGTTATTGATATTCGGCCATTGTCTTGTCTTATTCATTGTTTTATGTATACAAATGCAATTCATGCAAAATGAGATTCGAAATCTTCCCGTAGCTTGCTTGCTAGTAACAAATGGCATATTAGAAAATGTATATGTGCATCTGGAATGTGAGAAATAAATACATAAATATATATATAGACCTTCTCATCGAACATTAGTGCCTGACCTCACAAATGCTCTACTGGATAAATGGGCAATAATTTCTGCAGAAACACTCCAAAATCATATGTAAAACCTTCCTAGAAGAATCAAAGCTGTTTTAGCTGCAAAGGGTGGGCCAACTACATATTATTGTCTAGGTATTTAGCATGTGATGTCATTAAAGTCCCTGTTGGTGTAATGATTAGGTGTCCCAATACTTTTTGTCCATATCATATGTGTATGATTTGCTAAAGAGTTGCAAAATAACTTAAATCTTTTCTCTCTCTCAAAGACGAAACACAATTATCTCCATCTTTAAAAGTGTATGCGTTCTTATCTTCTCAACTCCTATACAAGCTAAAAAAAAATGTTTTTTGTTTTTTTTCGAGTAGGATTCAAGAATGATATAAGCTCAATGAAACTCATTTGCCTTGGAAAGCCTATTTTAAAATACATGTATTCATACCGTCCCTTTAAACATTGCCTGTTTGCCTTCCATCTTCATTCTTGTTAATGCTTTATGTTTATTTAAACAGTTTTACCGTTTGCAGCTGGCCAGTGCAGTGATGTTTATTTTGCACTTCGTGTTTTAGTTACAGTAATAAACCCGCGTTCTATATTTACTCAGAGGAGATCTCCCCAGGAAATGAAACATCTGTAGCCCTAATGACAAACATTAGTATATACCGATAACAATGTGAATGTTCTCGAGCGATAATAACTGCTTTGATGTTTCAAAGCCCCAACTACTTGAAGATGAGTTCTTAATTAGTGCCATTATTAATTGTTAATGAATGCAATAATGAGTCAGAGCAGTGCTTGTTTCATCAGGAAAATGTTAAGAACATAATGAGATGTTCTTTAATTTTTGATTTTTTTTTTTTATATATAAACCTATTTTCTAACGTGATTCACACAGGTGCCGACACCAGAAATCAGGGCTCACAATCTGTACTTTGATCTTTCTGCTTATGGCATTGATGTCACAAGTGCTGGAAAAGATCTCAATCACCCATCTTGTCTAAAGCCTGGATTCCACGTAAAGATCTATGGAACGTTCCGTAACCGATACATGGCCTTAGCATGCCCAGCGTCAGATGCTAAAGTTGTTCGATTTTTACGGCATACAACGAATTCCTCTGTAAGTACTAATGTCATGGCTACTGTAAGCAATGGCTATGTCTAATTCACTTTTCCTGTATCCCGACCTCCTGCAAGATCTCCAAACTTATTTTCATATCTACACAGTATCTAGCCTCCTCCCAGCTATTATTATCATTATATTCTAAGTGAGTGACCTCAAATGCTATTTCAAAAAACAGTCTGGTCTGGTTTTTAAAACAGTCGTAAATAAAACATGAACTGATTTTTTTTTATTTTTTATTGTTTTGTTTATGACTTTTGATTTGATTACGGTCTTAGCATTGTCTAATTTTAAAGAGTTGGCTTTAATTTGTTATCTGTGTATTACATGCACCAGGAATTAAAATTGCATTGTGTTGGTTGATCCTGCGCACGTCTTATCTAAAGCTGCATTGTTTTGTGTGTGTGATGAAAACGATCCGTGTCACTTTGTCCCCAATGTACGATACACTTTAACTTTTTTAACTGACTCATCAGTCATCCCTTAAAAAGACTGCAGGGACAGACCATAATCACCAGAACAACTACAATAAGCTGTAGTTGTTTTGGTGCCCAGAGTGTTTCTTGTGCCTCTGCAGTTTGAAAATAACCCTGTATTTTATGCCAGTTTTAAAAACCTAAAATATTGGCTGTAGATTTGTATATCTACAACTGACACCGTATTTAAATTGAAATGATTTACTTCTTAACTATACCTGGCAAAGTGATGCCACCTACCAGCTTCTTTTATTTTATTTAAAATGCCATGTGAATCATCTTTGCATGAATTGTTGGACACACTGTGAACATAGATTTTGACTACAATACGGGTACAAAATCACTATTCCAGATGAATGTACAGGAAATGTTGACATTTGCATGTGATGTATTTCATACGTAAAGATATGCTTTACAAGTTATTTTATGCTAGAGACCTAATTATAAAGCTAAAGCGTGCTTTGTTGAAAGGTCAAACTCTGGTGCATTTGAGAGTAATGAAAATCATACGTTACAACATTATTATCGTACTTCTAAATGGTGGTGAGTCATCTGCCTGTGCATCAAATGTCTAGTTACTAACTGGCTTATTCTTTGGGTTACCAGGTAACCAGGGGGAGAACATATCTCTCCCTTCTAATTTAACACCTATATTTCAACACTAACGGACTTGTCAAATATTTATCAATGTTGTTTAGTGTTTGTACATGTAGGAGCTAGCTTTCGAATAGATCATTGAGGTCCATTGACTTGGATTTTCAGATTACCTAGTAATGGTCCATGACCTGTTCATGACTGGTGACATGGTATTTTTACTTTTTAGCTCCAGAGGTTATTTAGAAAAAGTAATTAATTTGTAAACTACAAAGGTTAAAATTCAGTATTGGTTTAAATGAACAGGATTTGTTTATTTCTTTTTTTATGTCCAATAATATCTGGTTTAAAGATTTTAAAGCTTTGGCCAACAAAATATTTTAATGTGGCCAATGGGCTACCCATCCTTGAATAGAGTGATATATCCGAGATCTATAGAGGGTATTGCTATGGTTAAAAACACTCAGGATTTCAGCACAAAAAATATTTGGTTATCCTTTCCAAACATCTCACCCCTGGCCCATCCCATTCAGAGCTATAGCCCAGCCAGCCCCCATTAGTGATGCCCCTAATTGCGTGGATTGCTGGTGGCCTGATTCATGTCAGTTAGAGGGGAGTCTGTCTGATAATTCCTCCCAACTGGATTTGCCCTTAAATTGCTCAGTTCTTCGCATGCAGAGATGGTTGGCCAACCGTATATGACTCTCAGTGAGATAAAGAATCTTTTCCAATGTTCTTTACTGTGCTTGAGGAGGCTGGCCGGCTTAATAGCAGTGTTGGCCTGTGCTGACTGCTCCTGATAGTCTCATTAGTAAAGTTCTGATAATTGGCAGTTGTTTACCAGTACTTCTAGGATGAGGCTTACAGGCTAAACACAGCCTCTACTGAGAGCTTAGCCACATTACAGGGAGGATATTCTACTGTGTGTTGTTCTGTATGGGAGTGTGTAACTGTGTGTGCGATATTGATTTGGCTGTACAGGTTCATATCTGACCAAAAGGATCCACGTCCCCAATGGTAAACTATGGTTCGGCAGTGGCCCCCAAATCAATTGACTACATGATATTTGATATGATATAGATTTTTGATCTATGTTATTCTTGATATACATTTGATTGAGTGCTGTTCCCTTGAGCCTGAATTTATAGTGTGACAACATAGCATCATGTATTTTTCTTAATACTATCCATCCTGTACAAGTTAGTCTGTGAGATATCCTAATGTAGGCTCTTGCCAAAGCCCATAAACATTAATATTCTTGTTTCATTTGATTAGTCATCCTTATTACTGATCATGTTCTGTAACAAAGCTTTCCTGGCAGAATGTTAGAGATATATAAAGATAATTATCTTGCTTGTTGGTATGCTGTATTCTGGAATATAGTGTACGGATTAAATACGGCCCTGTGCTCTGTTATGTTGACCTTTCTTGAGCGTGGTTGTGAGCTCTTGTTTCACAAAGCAATCTCTTATGTTCATTAATTTCCTGATTTTAGGTAATGAAAAATATTTTCCATCAATCATTCAATGCCTACAAGACAGACATTGAGCCCAGGATGAGCGATTTATCTGTTCAACATCTGCAATGCAGTCGGAGACTCTTTGAGATCATGCTGTCACACAGAAGGGTGACCTCTGCATTCATAGAAGGGGACAACATCGCAGTGACTCTAGAAGGAGAGGCCGCAAGAGTACTGAACTTTGATACAGGTCAGCACTAATTTGTGTCTCAAATCAACCAGTAAGTGTTAAGCGTGAGTATAGACGTGTCTACTTAGCCCTTGAACCATACCTTGCAATATTTTAAATGTACACTTTAATTTTAGGGGGTGTGAGTGGGGGTGTGGGGCTGTTACTTACTAATAACAATTTATTTAACAAAAATGTAATTTAGAACAATAAAAATGTTACCATTTATTTTATTTACACGGCTGACTTTAAACACAATTATTGTAGCTCTGTTATACCCTCAGACACACCAACAATAAAGAGATCCTGAAAAAGAGGGACAGAGGGATTTGGGCCCAAATTAGAGACGGTCCCTCCTAAGTAGGGACACTTGGAAGGTATGCTTAAGCAGTGCAACCCTACTGCACACAGGAGGCAAGTAAAATAAGAGGGTGGTTTAACCTGGATAAATATATAGGTTGTATGTATCTGTGTATATTTAAACAAATGGGGGGTTTTAGTTACCTCCAATGGCCATAGGAGGGTATGCAAACTAAGAGGTCTTGACGTGGCAGGTGGACATACCCTCTCATGGCCATTAGAGATAACTAAAAACCTCCATTTGTTTAAATATACATAGGGATTTGGGAAAGAGCGCAGGTAACTTTTTTTCTTTGGTTTTTACTGTATGTATTTGGGCTGATGTGTACTATGGCCGTTGCCTCCGCCCTGGAGTAATGGGAGTTTGAGCGCAGGACTTGTTTTTTTTTGTATTTGTATGTATCTGTGTGTATATGGGTTTTATGCTCTATCTTGTCTGTTTGATAAATGATTCCCTGGATACAGGGGCGTACCTAGAGCATTTGGCACCCGGGGCGGATTCTGTGCTTGGCACCCCCTTGGCCCCCCACCCCCTCCTCCCCCAACAAAAACACCTTTGCAAAACCGCTGTCAGCCCCTCCTACAAAACCCTTGTACTGCTCCGCCCCTCCTACAAAACCTCTGTCCTGCCCCTTCTACAAATCCTGTACTGCCCCGTCTACAAAACCCCCACAACCCCCTTCCACAAATCCCCTGCTTATCCCCCCTTATAAAGACTCCTGTCCCAATACAAAAACCCCGCCCCCTTCTACAAAATCCCTGCAGACTGTCACACACTCAGTTACAGGCAGACTGTCACACACTCAGTTACAGGCAGACTGTCACACACTCAGTTACAGGCAGACTGTCACACACTCAGTTACAGGCAGACTGTCACACACTCAGTTACAGGCAGACTGTCACACACTCCGTTACAGGCAGACTGTCACACACTCAGTTACAGGCAGACTGTCACACACTCAGTTACAGGCAGACCATCACACGCACACAGACACACATGTAGTCACAGACAGTCTTATATACATTGACACACACACATGACAGCAGCAGACAGTCACATGCACACAGTCACAGACCGTCACACACGGTTACAGGCAACATCAGTCAGTCACAGGCAGACAGTCACACATACACTTTTCCTCCGTGCGGCCAGTTTATCAGCTGTTTGCTTGTGTGAGCTGTACTGGTTAACTACCATGGGGCACTGTGCGGCCACAGCTCACACAGCCTCCTCCAGCCAGGGCCGGTGCAAGGATTTTTGCTGCCCTAGGCAAAAGTAAAGTTTGCCGCCCCACCCACATGATCTGCCATGTTAACTAACGCCAGTGCTGCAGTGCCGCCGTGTTTAAAAGGCCTGCAGGGACAGGCTATAGACACCAGAACCACTACATTGAGCTGCAGTGGTTCTGGGGACTATAGTGTCCCTTTAATGTGAGGTAAATTAGAGCTTAGTGCCACGAATAATATACTAGATTGCCTACTTACAACCAGATGAGGATGATGATGGGCTCTAGCTGCAGTCTGGCTCCACTGGTCTGGTGTAGAACAGGCTCTCTGGAGGCTGTTTGTAACTATGGTCACAAAAATCAATGTTCTGGGAGAACGGGAAGCAGCTCCATTTTTGGGGGGCCCTTTACACAGCTCAAGGTCTGGGTCCCAGGGTCCACCTTCATGTTCCACCAATGAGTTTGTTCACAGGGGGTGGAGTGTGTAGGGGATGTCCTGGTATGTGTGTAAGGAATGCATTGTGTGAATCTGTGTTTGTATGTGTAAGGGCTGCAAGGTGTGCTTCTGTGTATGTACAGGATGCAGTGTGTGTGTCTGTAAGGGGTGCATTGCGTGTGTGTAATGAATGCATTGTGTGTGTAAGGGATGCATTGTGTGTAACGGTTGCAATGCTTGTGTGTGTGTGTAATGCATTGTGTGTTTTTCTGTGTGCAAGTGGTGCATTGTGTGTGATGAATGTCAATCTCTCCCCCCCTCCAATTTCCTTCTCCCCCCCCAATTTTTTTCTTTCCCCTCCTCCCAATTTCTTTCTTTATCCCCCCAATCTTTCTTTATCCCCCTCCCAATTTCTTTATTTATCCCCTCTCCCAATTTCTTTCTTCATCCCCCTCCCAATTTCTTTCTTCATCCCCCTCCCAATTTCTTTCTTCATCCCCCTCCCAATTTCTTTCTTTATTCCCCTCCCAATTTCTTTCTTTTTCCCCTCCCAATTTCTTTCTTTATTCCCCTCCCAATTTCTTTCTTTTTTTCTTTATTCCCCTCCCAATTTCTTTCTTTATTCCCCTCCCAATTTCTTTTTCTTTATCCTCCCAATTTCTTTCTTTATCCTCCCCAATCTTTCTTTATCCCCCTCCCAATTTCTTTCTTTCCTCCCAATTTCCTTCTCCCCCACCACTGTTGTAGCGTGGCCGAGCCTTCTATGGTCCAGGGAGTGGCGTACTAAGGGGGGGTGGAGGGGGCGGTCTGCCAGCCCCGGGTGCCACCAGGGTGGGGGTGCCATGACCCTCATGCTGCAGCCGCCCGAGCGAGCGCTCTGTAGAGAGCCTCAGGCGGCTGCAGCTTTGCCTGGGCTGAAGGCACACCGCACCGCCCCGGCGCAGCATGAGGAGAGGCGCTGACAGGAGGAAAGCACTCAGCACTCACTCCTGTCACTCCCTCACTGTAGCGTGGCCGAGCCCTCTATGGTCCGCGGGTACAGGGAGCATCTGTCTCCTGTACCCGGCCGGACTAAAAGGATACATACATACATACATACATACATAAATTTTTTGCTTATATGTTTAATATATATATTAATAAATAATATTCTGCTAATATTGGCACCCTTGTTAAATATGAGCAAAAAAGGCTGTAAAGAATGTCTTTATATAAAAAGCCATTACTGGTCAATGGAGGGAGACTGTGGTGGGAGCCTTCCCACATACTGTCACTTCCTCCTTGTTACATTTACCACCCTTCACTTGTCATACTCGCCACCTTAACTTTGTCATAGTCCCACCTACTTCCAAAACCATGTAACACTCACACACCCCCCCTTGCTACACTTACTCTCCTCACTCTGCCATAGTAACCCTACCACACCCACCACTCTAAGTCTCTCATACTCCGCACCCTAACCATGTCACATTTTCCATCCTACCACAGTCACTCACCACACCTCACCCTACCACAGTCACTCCTTAATCACTATTTCACAGTCACCCCACTTTAGTGATCATACACTGTCGCCTCCCACATATGAAACACAACCTCACCAAAAACACAACACACAAAGCCCACAAGCCGCCTCCTTTACACAAAACACAATTGCTTTAGAAGCTGTGGTGGCTGTGGGCGGGTGCATTGTGGGATCTCCCTGATCCCAGTGTGCACCTGCTGCCTGCACTTGAAAGGAACAATTAGGTCATTGCCTTGGGTAAAAATAAATGTTAAGCTTTGCCACTGAGTGTATGTCTTGGAAGTGTTGGATAATGTACACAGTGGACTACATTAAAATTGATATATGCTTGACTTTAACAGCAAAGTATTTAATGAGCAGGGATATGTAGATAATATTTTATTTGAGCAGGGATATGTAGATAATCTATTAAATGGGAATATTTAAAGGAACACTATAGTCACCAAAACAACGTTGGCTTAATGAAGCAGTTTTTGTATGTAGATCATGCCTCTGAAGTTTCCCTGCTCAATTCACTGCCATTTGGGAGTTAAATCACTTTGTTTCTGTTTATGCAGCCCTAGCCACACCTCCCCTGGTTGTAACTCATGCAGTGCATGAAAACAAAATGGTTTCACTTTCAATCAGATGTAACTTACCTTAAAATATTTTAACTCCTGCTTTGTATTAAACTTTAATTGCATACATGAGACGTCTGCAGGGTCTAGCAAGCCATTAACAGAGCAGGACATAAGAAAATCTAAATTAAACAGAATTTACAATAAAGGAAGGATAAACATTAGCTGACTCTTTACAGGAAGTGTTTAGGAAGGCTGTGCAAGTAACATGCAGGGAGGTGTGACTAGGGCTGTAGAAACAGTGTTTTAAATCACAAATGGCAGAGAATTGTGCAGTGTGACTGCAGGGGCATGATTTATACACCAAAACTGCTTCACTAAGCTTAAGTTGTTTTGGTGACTGTAGTGTCCCTTTCATGATAATTCCCCTTAATAAAGCACAGCAAGCCAGCATCGTTTATAGCAGGTGTTTATGACTCTGTCTTGTGAAGTTAAACCTCATTCTTATGTAGTTTAGGTCTCTGCATGTCAATTTTCTTAACAGAGCCACTCTAAACGTCCAATCACTACAGCTTATTGTAGTAGTTCTAGTGAAAGGCGCCCTCTGTCCCGTCTTTGTCAACCATATTTGGGCAGTTTGACCATAAACGTGGTCCTTCCAACACACAAAGCCTGCCCCCTCAGGCTGCCGAATATTAAGTGAGTTTTTTTTTTTTTTTACTCATATCTTCAAAAATAGATATCAATAACATGCTGGTCATTATTGTCCAAATTTGCATCCCCAATGAGAGAAGTGAAATTCCTTCTAATGATGCCCAAAGCAGAGAAGATTGCATAAAGGAGCATCAGTCATAGGTAGTGAACAGTCTATTACTGACCTAAATTTTTGTAGAGAAAATGACAAAGTAAAACACCATTATTATTTGGTGGCCACGGAAGGTGCCGAGAGAGTCCAGTTTTTTTTTTTCCTCAATTGCTTGAAAGCTGTGAGCAAACAAACTGGAGAGAGAACGCACAAAGACACTTTGCAGCATAACTACCACAATAAGCTGTAGTGCTTATGGTGCTTACATTGTCCATTTTAAAGGAACACAGCATTATAAACAAGTATTTTTTTCTTTATAATGCTGGAGTCTCTTGCCCCACCCCTTAATATCTGTAAGTAAAGGGTTACTTGCCTCTAAACGAGCCCCAGACTATTCCTTGCCACGTCTCTGCCCTACCTCCAAGAGATTAGCAGGACAGTACAGTCAAAGTACATGTGTCTGTTTATGAGACTAATTTCTTTCCATTTTGTTCTGGGATACAAAGCAAGCAACAAAAGCAGCCTTCTTTTGAAATGGGCACTTTTATACAGAGACTAAGAAAGACCACTCTGTTGACCCCTAAAGCATTTCTAGCTCGTTTTAACAGGATCCTCATCAATGTATTGTTCCTGTTACATTTTGTCAGTGTCTCATGTTGTTAAACGTATCCCCTTTATAATATTGTAAAGTGCTTCGGAATAAGTTGGCGCTATATCAATGCCAATTATAACAAGCTGAAGTGCTTTAGGACTTTGTAGTGTTCCTTTAAATATGAGCATAACACATTTAAAGCAACATGAGAAATATCAGGGCTCCCTCTTGTGGTTAAAATTAGGAATTATTCATGAATATTCTATCAGTTGAAACTCCCCGCGCGAGAGAGAGATCTGTGAATAATGGACCGTAGATAATGAGCCATGGGGTTGTCAATTAAGAACCCTTTATATTTTGCAGACACCTTTTTAATTGCAACCTCCAATAGCTGCAAGGTGACAAAATAAACCAACTAATAAAACAGGGGAGAGGAACCATAAATCCAAACCCCCAATAACACACTTCCCCTTTGTTTGATACTCAGCCTACAGGTCCGAGTATTAATGCTTTGCTATAAAACTGTTCTAATGTATTTTTTTTTTTTTTTTTGTATCAAGATTTGTGATTTTTGTCAAACCTTTTTCTTTTTAGTGCCCTTCACTTCATCTGGGGTTGTCCCCCTTTTCCTTATTCCTTAGACCCTCTCTGGAATCTCATAATCATTCAGGAGCAGCTTCCCTAATAGCTTGGATGATTTCAGGGGTGTCTGGAATGTCAATGGTCTACTGGCTGTTGCTCAAGATTTACTCTGGGATTCCTGTGCCCCAGGGAATAGACTTAGTTATATCAATGGAAGGTATAGCAACCTATACATGTACCTTACATTTCTAACTTCAAAAGTTCCAATATAAAAACATGTATTCCAAAAAAATGTAAATGTATAATAGTGTAAAACCAAATGGTAGAAAAAAGATCAAGGGACCACTCACATATTCTTGAGCTATAAACCTAGCTCAAGTGGGATGCACCCAAGGCACTGTTAAGGTGACTCTCTCCCCCTCTCGATACAAGTAGGTCTTCTTTTTTCTATTCCTGTATAGAAGCTCAGAAGCAGAGGTTATATATATGTATGTATGTGTGTGTGTGTGTATATATATATATTGTGTATTCACTTTATAGGTAACAAATGGGTACTCACAAGCATGGAGCCCTGACAGTAGGCTCAAACTTGATGCATTGTGTACTTCAGGACTACACTCCTTCTTTATGCATAGCAGGAATTGGATGTCATTAGTGTCAAATAAAATCTCTATTTATTACACATTTTATCACCAAACAAAAAAATTAAAACAAACTCTGTGCAAAAAAATATGTCCATAAAACTATTTCAAACACACTAATGGCAAAGTTCATAAGTTCTCACTTTCCCCAGGACGTGTTTTGCCAGATACGTTTTCGGCTTTCTCAGCTGGGCAGTGTGAAGATAAACTTTCAGTCCTGCTATATATACCCCCTTAACAGGAGGATAATACTCTGCCGGTTTGTAAGACGCATGCCTTACCTCCCCATTTCTGGGGGTGCGTTGCGTCTCAAACCTCCGTAATGTCACTTTTGACAGTTATAAATTTAAGGTACCTGTATAAGTTGCTATACCTTCCACTTTTTAAATGTTAGCGCTACATGTAGGAATTTTAAGCACTTGCACTTGGAATATATTTATTATATCTGAATTAGTGCTGGTATACTACCCCTCTTTTTTTGTAGTTAAGTGTTCTTGAATGGCAAGACCACTTAATATTATCTCACATATATATTATTCTTATTATTATAGCCAAATTTACCACCCCAACTCCTCCCACAGTTTTTACACTACATAGACAGTAATATACAGAAACGTGCCGATTGTTCCCGATCGGTGTGCTATTACTTTGTGGAACGTTTCGCTGAATGGTTCACGAAATATCGTCGTTTGTGGCGAAATTGGCCCTATAGGAATGAATGGTGGAATGTTCAAAACTGAAAAATTAGGACATGATTTCTAAACTGCCATCACTACCTCATTTTGAAGCCCACCAACACAAATCTTATATCTTACGTTCAGCTATCCCAGCTGCCACTAAACATGTCCACGGCTAAGCCATAGTCCTTATAGTTTTCACAATATGACCATTTGTTTGCAACTCACGCCGTCTATTGACATTCATTGAAACTCCACTCTAGCCAGCTCAAATTTGAATGGCAATTTCTAAACTGCGACTGTGCATTCATTTTTATTTCAGAGACATCCTATGCATCAAAATGTAGGTCTGGATCTAGTGTTTCTCACAATTTAAAGCTCTTCGCTGTAGGTTTTATAGTTTTTAAAACTACGACCGTTTAAAGATGGCCTTGCTGTAGATTGAGTTGCCATAGGAACCCAGGTGTGTGAGCAGCCAGCAGTGTTCCGGAACACAGAGGCTGCTAGATGAAACACTTTCTTTAAACTGCTATCATTCCTACAGTTTTGATAACACAAAAGTGAGCACTATCACATTTAATAAATATATTTCGAGCCACTCCAAATAGTTACTTTACTCACTCCAAACACTCCACAGTGTTACTCTGCCCACTCCATAAAGTTACTCTGCCTAGTCCAACCTTTCCACAGTTACTCAAGACACTCCAACCACACAACAGTTACTCAAGCTACTCCACCCAGTTACTCCGCCCACTCCAGTTGTAGACTACTGGTGGAGGCAAGAACACTTCACACAATTTCCCCAAAAATTGTAGCTTTTCTAGTTATATCAATGACATAGTTATATCAATACCAGGGGCCATTGGCATGGTTGCGATTTGGAAGCTGATTTTGATCTTTTACTGCCCCTTCAGAGTCCATAATTAATTTTTTTTTTTAAATTCTTTATTTTATTTGTGCATATGGTAAACAAGCAAATTTGTGCTGGTGCAAACAGAGATTTAGACATATGAGTACATTGGTGTGGCGTCAAGAACATTGCACATTTTTAAAAACAAAGTTAATAAACAAAAGTAAAATGGAAGCCTGCATATTATGTGAATATGCAGTAAATACTCTGCTGCATTTGGGGTGGCATATAGGTGGAAGGGTTATGGGTGTACTAGCTGAATTGTGGTATTCAATTTTGGTGGGCTAATGAATGTGGGAGAGACAATCGTGTTCAGAAGTTCGCAACTTTTACTGCATTTGTTGTTCCAGGATGATAAACAATGCCCTATTTTAAAAGTTATGATGAATGCTGGTGTGGAAGGTAGAAATATTGGTAGATGATCTGTAAAGCGTATTTTGCGGTCCGGTATTATGTGGTCGTGTTGTTGTGTGTCGGGGTACTGTACGCATTGAGGCTCTTTTTCCCTGAGATAAGGTGGGGTGGAAGGTGGGTGCAGCTGGTATCCACCTCAGCTGGACATGTTTAGCTTAGCTGGGTGCTGACATTACTTTAAGTAGGGTGCAATGTGAGCGCTCATAATGGGTACTTAGTGAGAGTAATAAAACTTTTCTTAAGAAATATTATTGCTGGCAATGTATACCCAATGTGCTCGACAGTTCATCCTGTGTCTGTGACAGAGCGTGGAACAAAAGGGGTAATTTCTGAAATGTCCCATGTTGTGGCAGTCCCTCTGTTGGGGCTGGAGATGCCCAAGGACTTCAGAAAGGTGGGCGAGTTAGCCATGATGGTGAGCCTGTAAGTGTTGCCCTCTTTAGTGGCCGAGAGTGAGCTGTCGCCCATAGATACAGGATGTTGGCTACCCGGAGTAGCTTTGTGATGGACATGTAGGTTCTGCACCATTCTAGTGTCAACCGGCAGAGGTCTTGTAGAGCTGTTAGGCTTGAGGTCTCGAACTGTAGGGGTGACTGCGTCCGCAGTGTCTCCATCACCTGCTTTTTGTAGCGGAATGACAAGAAGCGTATCGGCACATCTCTAGGTACACCTGCTGGTGCTTTAGTCGAGGTAGGTAGTCTGTAACAGCTTTCAATTAGCAGTGATTTGACTTGTTGGGGTAGGATAGTTGCCAGCAATCTTCTAACGAAGTGCGGCAATTCTTTGTGCTCTACCATTTCGGCAATGCCCTGAGCTTTAGGTTTTTGCGTCTGCGGTAATCATCAAGGGCATCTAGGTGATAAGCCAGCTTTTGCTGCGAGGCCTGTACTTGGCCCAGGTTATCTGTGGTACTTATCTGCTTTTGAGCCAGTGAGGTGTTATCTTCCTCCAATACTCAAATCCTGGCTGTCACTGCCGCTAATTCTTCCCTAACCACATTGAGGTCAGAGTTGAAGAATGCCCTCATGGTTTTTCATCAGCTCCAGTATGTTTCCACTTGGTGGCCGGGGTGTTGAGGTCTTCTGTAGACCGGGGTTTATTAAGGCCTACTGTTTTTTAAATGGTGTCTGGGGCATCTAGGAGTTCTTCCTCTGATGATTCGGAGGTGTTAAACTCCCACCACGCCGCCATCTTGGGCCTTGTTCCCAGCTGCAGCATATCGCCGATGTCGCGGGTTCAGTTGCCTGACAGGACTTTGAGCTTCCTGTGCCTCTTCCCCATACCTTCTGTGAGGTGTCAGCCTGGTAAGTTGGGTGTTTGGCTGGCAAAAAAACGGATAGATATCGGCTCTTTATCATGTGAGCTCAAACGCCATGCAACTGCTCTCCTTGCCGTCCAAGCCACACCTCCCATTCTGAATTTATTTATCCTACCATTCTACTGAAGGCTTGTACTACGACAAGCCTTCAGTAGAATGGCCTGCCATTTCAGTGACCCATTTCCCCACGCAGGGTATGCCTGTTGGTAGGGATCTGCTTGTATGTCATTTGTTTCAACACATTCATCTTTCCAGGTTTCTAAGACCCAAATATTTGCTTTTTTAGCACGTGTATCTAATCCTGAAATTTCTCAAGGATTGCCTTGTCAATGAGAATTTGTCCTTATGACCGCTCTCTACCAAATTTGCTATGCTCTTCTGTCTTGCCTTGGCTCCTTTCGTCGGGTGTCCAATGTTTGTACATTGGGCATGGAGGCATTTTCTTTTTCCCTGGAAAGGGTCTACTTTTCTGTTTCTAAGATCACGAAGGCTAATTATGACACCATATTTGAACTTTTTTTTTTTCGTGATAAGGCCTCAACTGTGTATAGCCACAAGCTTTTCTCGTTTTGGAATGTAATTTGTTAAGGCCTAGTTTAGCTAGACAACTTTTTAACGCCTATGCCCCTTTATACAATCCAGTATCTATGACCACTCTCGCCAGATGATTTAGTTGGCTTTTCCATGGTTTGATACAGCAGCAACTGGTGACAATTTAGTTTACATCCTCTGGTCGGTGGATTAGACTAGCGATCCACCTTCCATATGTTTTTACTTTCGTACTCATTGTGCCATGCTTTTCGATGTCATTGTTGATTATGGTTCTGTCCTTAGGCACCCTTTTTCCAAACAGTCTATTCCTTGCTGATGCTTTGTTTCTTTTAGCCTGTTTATGCTTTACTTATGGTATTGAATGTTTATTACCTTCACATTTTCCTTCTCTTTGTAGTGTAATACAGCTCTTCTGGATTCTGGACCGAAGTTTCATCTCCTGTCTGCATGCTACTGGCTTTTATGTTTGCAGTCTAAATTTTTGCGACTGTTCTTGTATTCTACGTTATGATGCTATAAACTATTTTATATTATATCCTCAAGCCTCAAAGAAAGAGGAAGTGTGTTATTGAGGATTTGGCTTAAGGGTACTTCTCCTCTGTTTTTTGTTTATTTGTCTTGTCACGTTGCTGGTGTCATTATTAAAATTCAGATTTTCAAACACCGTGAATAGGACATTCTACAGTTAGAGTTGCCACTACACTATGCTTCAGGAAATATACCAGAAGTCAAAAACTATATTTTGTTGTAGATTTGTTTTAGATTAAATTATACTATTGGTGAACTCACAACATATCGTGCAGCATTTATATGTTCTAATAATCTTTTTCTGAACATTTTAAGTTGTATAGATGTATCTGCTAAAGACACTGGGGTCGCAAACCGCAAGGTCAAAGTGGTGCAAGAAGAGTTGTGCTTCAAGATTCTTCATACAATGACCATGTGGGGGCACTAGGGATAATTGGTAAACAGTTGCTTGTAACCGCATTAATAGGCAGTCTTCCTCCAGCAGTCTTATTTTATGACCTTTCCGTGTGGTCTTGGACTCCTAGACTGGGTATACTGTAGTATGTGTAACTAGGCCAGATCCACGTACATGTGTCTTCAAAGCATAAGTATATTTTGAATTGGGACCACAAAACACTTTTATGAGATTGTGGGTTTTTTTTTTTGGGTTTTTTTTTAATCCCCGTAAAACCTGGTAACGATAAGACTTAATGACCAGCTGACTAATGGTTGATACGAGTTGGAGTCCAGCAATAGCTGAAGTGATAGAATGTTGGTGTGCTAATCGCCTCTCAGTAGCCCAATCTCTAACCTTGCTTATTGCTTTGTAAATTCTATTGTTTTACAGGTTGTGGAGTAAACCTGGGCTTGCTCGGTTTGGAATCTTCCGAAGAATTCATCCATAAGGTGGCATCCGCTGTGGACCAGCATGATATCTTTGAAGCAATTTCTGCCAAAATAAAGCACTCAAGACAAATTGTAGAGGATTTCAGACTTCATGGACTTTCAGCCACCATGTTTGAATGAAGGCATGCATAGACTGAAACTGTTAAAAGGACATCATACGCATAAAATACAAAGGCATTGCTGGAGTCAAAGGATCTCACAATGAAAAACAGGATGCAAATGCAATAACTAAGAAAGGGTTGAACTTAAATTAAACCTACTTAACTGTCTCAAGATCTGCAACACTTTTCCGGTTCTTGCTTGTATGTATGTATATTTCTTTGGATTTTGTTTTACCTAACTTTCTATTTTTTATTTTTTTTTGGGTACTTAATCATGAATAAAGCTTTTATTTTATGACTGTAAATCCCTTTTCACTTTTATTTTTAAGTTTTTGGTTTCTTTTAAGCTTTTTTTTTATTTCATCCTTTGTAAAATCACACATTTTATTTTTTGTTATGTAGTCATTCGTAATACTGAGTAGACGGACTTTTCAAACACTTTTTTTTTAGTTTTTGTTTGTAGGCTCATGACTCCCTGGACAATATTCCAGTGAAGGTAAAAGTAAAAAATTAATATTGATTATTTTAAGATAATTAAATATCTGTGTTAATCTGACATGTTTACTATATTCCTAATCGGAGAGGTAAACATTTTACTAAAACATTTCATTGGCAGAAGCATAAAAGAAATCCACATAATTTTATAATATGATATATATATATATATATATATATATATATATATATATATATATATATATATATATATATATATATATATATATATATAATTTTAAAATATTTTTTATTTATTTTTTATTTCTAAATCAAGGAGTGAATGTAAACTTGTTTCATTTGCTGGATAAAAGTATATAGTAAACAACTTAGACCAAATTAGGTAAAGATAATGATATGGATTATAGGGAAACTTTGTCTAAAAGTGCAATTAATCGTTGGAAAAAAAGTGCACAAATATCTCCTAAGGCCGAAACAAAATTACCATTCATTAACTACTGAAATGTGCAGCTATAGAGGATGCACCCCCTCGTGGCCAGAACTTCCTGGTTAGTGTAGGACATCGTTCAGTCAAATGCTTTATTGCCTAATAAATATTTATATAGCTTCTAAATATTGGGGACCCACTCAAATGGCATGGGGAGACGATTTTGGGTCTTGATCCAGGGCATAACACTACTGCTTTAGCTATATATTATTCAAACATCGTTTGTGTTTTGTTTGCAATATTTAATTAGTTTGCTAGGCTAATCTAATATGCACCAAGGGGGTTCCAGAGCCTGAATCAGGAAGGCTGCTGCTGTATTTTGTCAGATTTTATCCTAGGGAAATGGACACATTTGCACAAACACAGATACAAACACTTCCAAAGAACGGTGACACCTACATCTACACTTACACATTCATACATATGGCCAAACTCAAAAATGTACACCAACACACAACCACACAGATTAATATATACATATACCTCATTATATTGGGGGGTATAAGATAGTGGCTAGGTGGACGGACCTGAGAGTTGGCATCGCCTGTTACTTGATTTTCATTACTGTTGTGGCCTGACCCCCAACCTACAGACCTTGCAGGGAGAGCTCTATTCCAGGTCCTAGTGCCCGTGCACAGCGCAAGTTTGTCTAATGGTGTGCTTGCGCTATAATACCTAAAAAACATTCCATGGTGTCCCTGGATGTGGAACATCAGGGTGGTGGATCCATAGGGGCAGGGCCGGATTAACATAGGGGCTAATGGAGCTGCAGCTCCAGGCCCAGGCCCATGGAATAGGCCCATTGATTTAAAAAAAAAAAAAATAATAATAATTTTTTTTTTTGTCCATTTTTTTTTTTTGGTACATTTTTTTTTCACACACTACTCTTAGGGATTCCACCTGGCTTTTATTTTATTGGCACAGCCAGTAATTGAGGCTGCCTGGCTGGTGCCAATATTGCAGTGATATTGGCAATACAAATGCTGGTATTTTTCTCAGTATAAACAAGAGATTACTATGCAATACCAGCACTGGCCAGTCGCTGTGTGTGGAGACAGGCAGGGATAGGAAGTTCCAGCATATCCCTCCCTGCCTATCTATACTCACTGATCTGCAGGGGTGCAGCTACAGAGAGTCCAGACAGCAACTCCCACCCTGCAGAGACAGCCTACAGCTCAGGGAAGTAAGGAATGGGGTGAAAGGCTGCAAGGAGACATACACTGAGACACTGGGAGACATTATGGGAGACACTGAGACACTAAGGGACACTGGGAGACATTATGGCAGACACTGAGACACTAAGGGACATTGGGAGACATTATGACACAGACACATGGGGACACAGTGTCCCCATGTCTCCCTGCCAGTGTCCCTGGTGTCTCAGTGCCCCCTAGTCTCCCAGTGTCTCACTGTCCCCATGTATCCTAGTGCCTCCATGTCTAACAGGGCCTCAAGTGTCTCAATGTCCCCATGTCTCCAAGCTAGTGTCCCTAGTGTCTGTGGCCCTGGTGTCTCAGTGTCCCCATGTCTCCCAGTGCCCCCCATGTCTCAATGTCCCCATGTCCCCCAGCCAGTATCTCTAGTGTCTGTGTCCCCATGTCTTCAAGTGTCCCCTATTTTCCCAGTGGCCCCATGTGTCCGAGCCAGTGTCCACTAGTTTTCCAGTGTCACTGGTGTCTCTGTGTCCCTAGGTCTCCCCGTCTTCCTAGTGTCCTAGTGACACATACATGGGGACATAGACACATGGGAATACTGGAGGACACAGGGAGACATGGGGCATTGAGACACTGTGATACACAGGGACACTGTGATACATAGGGTCACTGGGAGACCTGGGGACACGACACTGGGAGACATGGGGCACTGAGACACTGATACAGTGATTTGGTGATTTTACAGCATTTTCTCTTATGTCACTCCTTGTGATTTACATCATGTGATATCACCCATACATATTTAATTATGCAAATTAGTAAGGCCAGTATGTTTTTCCAAGAAAGGTGGCAACCCTAACTACTTTTCACATACTCTTACTTAAGTATGGAAACTTAAGAGGGATGTATGGGAACAAAACTTGTGTGGACTGACTGACAATGAATATAGTTAAAGGGACACTATAGTCACCAGAACAACTACAGCTTATTGAATTTGTTCTGGTGAGGAGAATCATTACCGTCAGGCTTTTTGCTGTAAACACTGTCTTTTCATAGAAAATGCTGTCTTTACATTACAGCCTAGTGATAATTTCACTGGCCACTCCTTAGATGGCTGTTAGAGATCCTTCCTGGGTCATGGCTGACTAAAATGCATCCAAACATTCAGTGTCTCCTCCCTCTGCATGCAGACACTAAACTTTCCTCCTAGAGATTCATTGATTCAATTCATCTCTATGAGGAGATGCTGATTGGCCAGGCCTTTGTTTGAATCATGCTGACTCTGCCCTTGATCTGCCGTTTTGTCAGTCTCAGCCAATCCTATGGGGAAGCACTGTGATTGGATCAGGCCACCACTTCTAATGATGTCAGCAGACTGCTTGTTTTTCTGAGTTTAACAGCATGCAGAGTTACAGCTTCAGGCTTGAATACAGTAAGATTTTTACTATATTTATGGAGGCATGAGGGGCCCAGGGGGGTTAGATGGTGGTGTTAACACTATAGGGACAGGAATTCATGTTTGTGTTCCTGACCCTATATTGATCCTTTAAGGTAATGCTGACTTTAGTCTCTCTAACACTGTGGCATGTTCCCTTTCTTCTACACTCACTACATACAACTTTTCTCTGTCCCAGACTATATACCAGGAGCGTCTGCCTGCTAGTAAGAAGGTAAGGAGACAAGTGGACCAGAGAGTGCTAGGGGACAGTCCTTAGAAAGCGTTGAGCGAGCGCATCATTAGATGCATTTATGCCAAGCTCAAGGTGCTGTCGGCATAGTATGCCCTTAGTTGGCCAGCTGCATGATTGGCAGGCAGTCTGACATGCATTCATGCCAGGCTGGCCTTCTAATTCTTTGGGCAGACGTCCTCTTTTTGGGCATGTTCGCCTCTTTTGGCAGGTTACGTGATTTGTGTCAGTGGCACACCCTTTTACCCCGCCTATTAACTTCCTGCTTGACTCTACACTGCTGTTAGGGGTTATGGATTTACTTGAAAGATGAAAACATAAATTAGTGAGAGATTAGCCTAGGGTATGTGTTTTCTTATAGCTGCTGTTTTCTTTCTCTCCAGCACCATCTCCATCAGATACATGACGCTTGGGAGTGTTTTACTGTTTTTGGTCGATATGATTCTGTAATTAGGCCCGTCATAATTGTCAGCACCAGGCCCACTGGGTTGTTAATCTGGCCCTGCATAGGGGGTAACTGGGCAATTGCCCCCTCCCTCCCGGGAAAACAGTAAAGTGCAGAGGCTCTCCATTGCTCTTCCCTGCTAGAGCATGAAAGGCCGGCGCTGGCTCTGCTGTGTGCCTTCACGGACCTGAGGGGAGATCAGAGATCTCTCTCGTCGTCCCACAGACACTTTGTTGGGCAGCCAGCAGGGGAGGGGGAACACCCAGGAGCTCTAGTTTGCAGCTCCCCGGGTTCTCCTCTCTTGAGCTTGAAGCATTGCCATGGTTACCATGGAGCTACAGGCTAGAGTTCACTCCCCACTATGACCACCAGAGGATATAAAGAATATATATTTTAATAATAAATTATATTTGCTTTAATCTGCCCCCTTACTTCTACACACACAATAACTTCCTACACATTCACACACTGTACCACAAACACACACACACACACTCTCTTGGAACCATAAACACTTCAGAGAATTGTAATGGTTATTGTGCCTATATTGTTTCTTTAAATAATCTACCAGTGCCCCTACTGAGATTAGGTTCTGGAACCGCCCTTGACGGCGGGAGCTCCCCGAAATTGGAACAGTCCTCACAATATCAGGACTCCCTTTAGGATCTGCCAATGATATACACATTTTCCCCATTTAGGTGTATAATCACTGATTTACTTTAAGAATGACTCACTAACTACTCTGCAAATGGTGTTTGTTTTTTTTTGTTTTTTTAATTTCTATTGGTGGAGCAGATGAGCAAAACAGCTTTCAATGCTTTGTGTGAAACTAGCTATTAACTGGTAGAAATCAAAACGTTATAAAGCAGTTCACTCATTTATACCAACAAGCTGGCATTATGCAGCCCACTTCCAATAATGTAATAATGCTGATGTAGTGTAAAGCACCGTCATTTTTGCAATGAATAATTTAATTCTTACAATTTGTAGGCATAAATCCAAAAGAGATTTTCAATGTCATACCTTAATTATTAACCAGAGACAGCAAGCAAACATATTGCCAACAATGACCTATTTGAGGTTTCCACCCCCTCCAACCCCCCAAGAAATTAAAGTTAACCTATCACCTAAAGAATTGCATCAATCAACAAACCTTAAAAAAAATCTTGTGGGGTGTTATTCGCTAAATCTGTAATTGTGCAAAATAAACAAAGGAATTGCATGTTTTGAGCCAAATTTAAAAAAAAAAACAACTAAACACTTTTTTAGATATTTTAAAGGAACACTATAGGGTCAGGAACATAAACATGTATTCCTGACCCAGTAGTGTTAAAAACACCATCTAGAATCCCCTGGCCCCCTCTTGCCCCCTAAATATAGTAAAATCTTACTTTTATTTCAGTCTTCTGCTGCTACTGGCTTTGCCCCTGATCTGCCTCCTTAGCTGACACAAGTTGTGATCTGAGCCAATCACAATGCTTTCTCATAAGAAAGAATTGGATTGGCTTAGACTGTCAAGGAGGCAGGTCAAGAGCAGAGCCAGTTACACGGTCCAGACATTATGATGGCTGCAATAGCGTTTGATAAGGGATAAATATAGAACTTCTACAGCAATGAATTATGCGGCTTATGTTTAGAATTATGTATTAACTTTGGAAATGTCTCCTTCAAAAAAAATTAACATGTCATAAAACGTTCACTAAAAAATGTACAGAATTACTTTAAATGCAAACTAATTTCTAATCCTATAAAAATATGTCCCAATCATAATTAAATGTGCCTTAGAAACTGGTGTAAAAATCGTCTTAGTACAGCGCTAAAAATGTTAGGGTTATATTTAGTAAACACTGAATTGTACTAAATTAAATTTGGAAAATTTAGGGCCAAGTAGCTGATTTGAAAAAATTCTCAATTTGATTGTAAATTCACTACAAATCACTTTTTAGTGAATAAATCCCTTTAAGACTCTTAGGTGATGATTACACATGAATATCTAAATTTTTAGGGTTTGAAATATATATCCAGTAAACATTTCATCAATTACCATCACAACCTTCTTATCACAATATTTTTACGGAATAATAAATTCACAAACATATTTCTTTAAACTGCGACAAACTTCATCCGCCCATTTTCCTTGAGAAGCATGAGTCAAGAGGGCACAGTTTTTGCGCTTGCCTCCATTCGGTGGACGATCCCAATTAAAGTATGTAATCGCAATCCCGTTAACATCTACAAATTTTCCTTCATTCACCATATCATTGATGCCTAACCAAAAGTCTCCTGTGCCTGGAAGGCCTTTTTTTGCATAATCACGGAGAGCGCTGTTCTCATCTGCATCTCTAGGAATCGCTAAAGTTCCTCCTTTCGCAATACAATCCTCATTGGCCTCATGAAAGTGTTTAGTTTCTTCGAATGCCAAGTAGCATTTTTTATAAATCTTGATTCCGCGCAAGCACACTGTAAATACAAGAGATGCTACATTATTTATTTTGGATTAAAGGGAAATGGTCACGTCAGGATATCTCATCTTTCAATTAAAGAATTGAAAATCACCTATAACGTTACCCTTTTATTTTCATACAATGCAGCAAAAAATAAAAAAAATAATTTTTTATATATATATATATATATATATTTGTTAAAGATTTTGCGATTTACACCATAATCCAGTTAAGTCTTGGCAGAACTGGGGAACAGAAAAAAACACGAAATATTGTTTCTCCTTCTCCATTTACAACATTTCTTCCTTAGATAGACCATTGCTCTACTATGGCCTCAATACCCTACTTAGTGAAATTGCTTTCAGAAAACTCAGTAGTTCAATTTTGGCAGTCTGCTGATGGTTTGGCAGCTTGGTCATTCCCTGTTGCTCGCAAATGTCCTGCCCCTGTAGGAAAATAAGCTAGTTTCAAACTTCCTGTATTTAGGAATACATTCAATCTAGACCTGGGTTCAAAGTCTTGGTTGTAACTTGGTTTGTAGAGAACAGTTTATAAGTCAGCTGGTTCAGCAAGATGGGAATTATATCCCATCAGTAGCTGCAGAGGAGCCACTACTGCCTATTCCTCTACGATATAAGGATGTGTCTGTACAAAATGTCTAAGGGGTTCTTTATAAAACCGGCCTCTTTCAGAGCCAAGCAAAAGAACATGGACTCTGTGTCTGGTCTCAGGGAGTAAATAGAGTGTAACACAGAGCCGAACAGCCAAGCATTTCTTAAACATTCCATGAGTGTATATAATCCATGCTTTATTTACGTGGTTGTCGAAATGTTATTCCTGGCCCTGCCATCTTCAGTAACTCTATAATAATCTGTTTTATTGAGCGCCATGGCTGTGTTTATTTTTCTCTGTGGAAATCTGGCTTCGGCCTAACTTGCAAAGCTAGCTTTGCAGTCATCGATGGTAGCTTCCTTTTACATCATGACTTTGATAAAATTCTAAATGTATATTCTATTTCTGCTTATCTGGATTGGAAAAACTGCAGAACAGAGGAAAATTTTATAGCAATATCATCATGCTGGAAATGAAGAGAAGTTGAGTGTTTTTTTGTTTTTGTTATTTTTAAATTTGACTGTTTTGACTTAAAATTGCAATACCCTCGTCTGTGCTCTGCAATTCCCAATTTAGAGGATAAATCACTAAATATTTTTCTGAAATTGCTGTATGGTATTCAAACTGCAAAAACAAGTTATCGTATTGCACTTTGGTCACTTCATTTACTGCTCCACAAACGTCTTAACTGGGGACTGTCACTTCAAAGGAATTTTTAATATTAGGTTTGTTTCCTTGTCCTTATATTTAACAAATGTTTTTGAAGGTGTAAAAAATGATTAAAAGTAGAAATTCACAACTCTTTATCCTGAAACTGAGCTCCTCCATTTTAGCTGCCTGTCAATCATTGTTATAAGCTCTGTCCTTTGCAACTGGCCCTCCACAAAGAGAAAGCAAACAGCGAAAAATAGGAAGGAAACCCCATTTCTTTTTCGTCTCCTAATTTGCAATGTTTGCCATGGTTTTGCCTTGTCTCAACTGGATTATCAGCTTAAAATACGACCTTACGTACGTTGTTCTGGATGACATAGCATGTAGATTTGGTGAACCTTTCTTCCCCTTGACTATCTTCACTTGCTGCAGGAGGTGTGGAGGACTGCTCAGTGGCCTTAGGGAGACCTAGGCAGTGTGCCCCCTTGTGGTCCTCTCTCAGAACCCGAATACTAGAACATGATGTTCACTACTGACTCTCTGCTGTATGAGCGTTTTGGGGACACATACGCATGAACAGCAGTGTGCCAGGTGAAACCGTCCTTCCTATTAACTTTTTAGGGAAAACCTGCCCATCTCTTTTTCAATAGAGGTAAATCTAGAAGTTTGTGCTTTATTAAAAAAAAAAAAAATTATATTTTTTATTTTGTAACATTATCTAAATGCACACTATAACTCAATGTGCTGCATACGCCCAATAGGATGTATATTATTCATAATTTAGGTTTGGTCAATGAACAGAAAATGTTACGGGGTGGAGAGGGACCATTGCCCTGCCCACTCCTGCTGTCACTCACTGCAGCCAATCAGGTAGTCTGGTTAATAGTGTGTAAAAACAAAACATTTTCTAAGTAACAGAGGTGGATATTCTAATACAAAAATATCTTGTTAAGCATGTTAGAAATTGCTTTGCCAGTAACAGAAGTGATATGGTTCTAAACAGCAAGAGCAATTTTTGCAATAGTATACTGTTTGCATTTTCTCTCATCCACTTTAACAATTCTTCCCAGTAGTTCAGTAATCTGTGGTGAAGCTACTTGAAATTTGTGTACTATTTCCCTTATATATATATTAAAGTTACAAAGTGTTAATATGCAGGGGTAAGATTTAAAATGTCCCAAGGTTATATCTTGCATTTGACGAGGGGAAAATACGAGCAATATTTGAATATCAAAATGACAGGATTTGAAAAATGTCTGAATTTAAAGATAGGGTAAAGACTTATGTCAGTAGCATCCTTGTGAGGTTGAGTTAGTCATTGTTCCATTGACCTTCAAGGAGTATGATAATGGACGGCTGATATTCAAAGGATCATAGATAGGACTTTCATTTTGAAACTCCTCCTTTCCCTGAGTAGATCTTTTCTCTTTCGAACACTCTATTGCTGCTCTTTCTGCTGGTCAATGGGAAATCCCACCAAGTCAGAAACTTTACAATCATTTTTATTTTAAACATGTATCATACATTTATTCTTCTTTATTACAGTAGATCTCAGGCCAATTCAAAAATACCTGTCCATGTTTAACGTTCTAGAGAATGGAATAGAACTGAGGAAACTCCTGAGGATTTGGTGGTCCAGAGTACTAGTTTGGAAGCAACCGTTTGCATCTTAACACTCTGAAGCTACATATGGTCATGAACACAAGGTTTGCATCTTATACGTCTTGGCTGGCTCCTGTGCTGTCCTGAAAGAGGCTTTGTTCATGTTCTCAAAATATGGTTGTCCATAAAATAACTAAAAACGACACCACCTCTACATATAGGCTGACTATTCTATAATAATTGTCAAAAAATATACACGTGTATTTACCTGTTTGCAATGCTTGCATTTCCTTTAGGGAATTAATCTCCCTCCATAGCTTGTCAATTTGGGTCTTCAAATCACCGTCCTTTTCTATATAAAAAAGCAAAAAAATGCAATTTAGGTTTAGATTGAACTATTAACTGAAGCCTTTTACTTTATTGCCCAATGTTAGCTCTGCAGTGTCTCTTAACAGATAAATATTAATATAAAATTGCGTTTAATTCTGATGTATATACTCTTAGTGTCCTGTCCAGGAGAACTAAAGAACTAAATATATAATGTATTAAAAAAAATTTTTTAAAAAAATTCTGTACAAATGTGAAATCATTTGTGTTACTGAGATCTTAACAACATTATTCTGTTTAATTTGAAACCAAAGGGTACAGTGATTTTAAAACAGAGTGAATGAGAGAGGAGTTGAATGTTATATGCCCAATTAATCTACAAATGTTATGATTCTCACCTTTTTCTTTTATTCTGCGGTCTTTCCGAGTCTTTAATTTTGATGATTGTCCTCTAATTTGATCCAGTAGAAGAATAGTGACAACGAAGAGCACTAACAGTCGTGTTTGTGCCATGTTGAAAGATGAGGACCAGCAATCAGAACTGAAGGTAAAGTACTTAAGCGTTGAAAGGAGGAGTTGGCTTGGGACAGCTTAAAAATGTGGCCTCAGGCATCTGGCTCTGCTCCTTTCTTACAAAATGTGATAAATACTTCCATTTGCTCTGGAATAAGGTCCTTCCTTGTTCTCCATCCAATGCTCACATTGCTTTAGTTTGCAACGTCTTCGTATTTATTTTTTAATTTTTCATGCACTTTATTTTTTTTTTTTTTAAAGTATCCTGAGTATTTTTCCATGAATGAATACATCTTTTGAACTAATTTTCCCTTACCGGAAAGTGTACAGACTATATCATTTCCTAAATATGTTTTGATACATAACGTATAAATAGGCAATTTAATGACGAGGTATGATGAACATAAAGACATGTTAATTACTCAATCTACTGTATGTCATCATAAAATAAACCTTTTAATCTGTATAGAGAAAAAACAAGATTTACCATCACCAACACAGATTAGCTTGCAGGGGTAATTATTTTCCTGATTAAAAAAATAAAAATAAAATAAAAAATGTTCAGGTCCAAATGTTAGTTGGTGGTCATTTTGAAATAATATTTTTACAATAACATATTTATAATAATATATAAAATTAGCTTTTTGCTGTAAGTAAAAATATAATATATATACTTGTAACCTGCTAAGCCATCACCTTTCCCTACTTGAAATAGCATTAGAAAAGCACTAAACATATTTTGACAGTTTGCTAGGTATGTACAAATAGGACCATTCATCAAGAGCCTCAGTATGTCTAATGTGTGATAAATAAAGCCGTCTTTCTTGTTTCAGATGGGCTGAATATTGGGTTATATGTTTATATTGCTGTCCATGAATAGTGATCTAGTTTAGAATTCACACATTGATTCTGTTTATCTGTAGGTCAAGTCACAGAGGGTCGAAACTGCCCAACTGTTTAATTTAGACCAGTAAGGTACAGTCTAAATAGAATGTAAAAAATTCGAAGCAATGTTCCATGGAGTTTTAAAACTGTAATATACTAAGCTGCACCAAAATCACAAGAAAAAATATCAGGACCCAAACCAAAATAAATAATTAGATGCAAACTATAGGCCATCCCAATAATCAAGGTAGTTGTCCAATCCATTCTTTTTGTTATAGGGTCTCAAAGTATGTTACCCACTTGAGAATTAGCCGTTGAATTAAACATCTGTGATTGACTATAAGGCAAAAGAAGGGGAGACCCAGAGGGCAGAATATCTAGCCCTAAAGTCAAGGAAGGACTAAGTGGGTAATATGGGCATAACCCAGATAATTTAGAAGAAAATGGAATACCCTGAGTGACTTAATTAGAGAAAATGGAACCGGGTGTGCGAACACACGGATACCATATCTCAGAAAGACAAACCAGGTGTTACCCACCTATTGTGTAAAAACTCAATTGAAAAGGTCAAAAATAATATTAAGCTTTATTTCATATGTTAGACAAAACGAAAAAAATCAGTGTAAACAAAAATGTGAAAATAAACTGTGCTGGTGATTTAAAAAGAAAGGGAAAAATATATATACAATCTATGGTAGCCTCAAGATATATAAATCTATTAGTAGAGAGTAGCTTGTATGAACTGACACACTGTATGAGGTGTCAGTATTAAAAAGTAGCTACTAATGTGTTTATATGTTGCAAAAAGATATAAACACCCAGACTTGCAGTAGGCATGTGCATGGGAAAAATTTTCGGTTCGGCAATTCTGCACTTCGGAACCTCGGCACTTCAGAATTTCGGAACTTCTCTTGCAGCCGCTTGGTAGATAACTCCCTAATTCCCACGGTAAAGATTACTTAGTATTAGTAAATTATGCCCCTACTCGCTATACCGCAAGTAGGGGCATCTCTAGTAAACAGTGAGCAGCCAGTCGCTGCTCACTGTTTTAAAAATAAATAAAAAATTTAAAATGGTACCCCCTCCTGGCTTTTCAACTAAAGGAGGGGGACTATTTCCCCCCCCTCCCCGGCCCCTACGCCTGAGTGGCGGGTGGGGGCCCTAAATTAGAATAGGGGGGGGGACCTATTGCCCCCCTGGCCCCCACCCCTGAGAGGTGGTTGGGGGCCCTAAAATAAAATAATGGGGGGGGACCTATTGTCCTCCCCCGGCCCCCAACTATGAGCGGTGGGTGGGGGCCCTAAATTAGAATAAGGGGGGAGAACCTAGTGTCCTCCCCCCTGGCCCCAACCCCTGAGCAGCAGGTGGGGGCCCTAAATACCAATAGGGGGGGACCTATTGTCCTGCCCCCGGCCTCACCCCTGAACGGCGGGTGGGGGCCCTAAATAAAAAAATTAACCCTCCCTCCCCAGGTGACTAGGGGTCCCCAAACCCCAAGTCACCTCCTCCCCCCAAAAATTAACCCCTACCTACCCCCCCTCACACTAAAAATAGTGAGGGGGGACCATTAGCTTAACCTGTTATAAAATAAAACTTACCATTTGATGTTTTCTTTCTTCTAAAATCTCCTTTTTTCAGCCCCAAAAAAGGGCAAATAAAAAGACGAGCGCAAAAAAAAAAAATATCCATCTTCACCCGGCGCGGGCTCCTCACAGACTGAGCTCTGCAGGGCGGGGGGAGGTTTATGAAGCCTTGCCCCGCCCTGCAATTAGGTTCAGAGCACTCTGATTGGTGGATTTCAAGCCAACCAATCAGAGTGCTGTGACCGGTAAATGTAGAGACTTACCTGTCAGTCTCTTCATTTACCTGTCAGAGCACTCTGATTGTATGGCCAATACGTCCCTGCTTACACCTGAATCCTGGCTATGTTTGTATACTTTTTTTTTAAACTTGTATACAGTGTAACATTCTTCATTCTTCCACTGGGTAAGTATATAAGTACTTAGGCAATACTGTACTTCGGAACTTTGGCACTTCGACACTTTGAAACTTCGGGACTTCGACACTTCGGAAAATCTGTAATTTCGGAACTTCAGGACCTCGGCAATTTGGCACTGCGGCAATTCAGCACTTCAGCTATTCAGACATTCGGAAGTACCTGAATGTCCTAACTTTCCGAAATTCGTCCGAATTCATATTTGGACCGAAACGAATTGCACATGTCTAACTTGCAGACTCCATTAGAACAGCTTAGAGATTCAAGTGGATAGGGGTAGATATTAGTATAGTATTTGAAATAAACCACAGGTAACTCTTTTTCCTTTTTGCAGTGTGAGATACATTGAAAGGGTTAACTATTATATAAGGGAGAGTAAAAAAGCTGCCCTTTCAGTTAGCCTTCAATAGAGTTGTAATGTGGGTATATAATTCAAAAGTAGAGGAGAGGGGACAGGTAAATCCCTTGTTGTAAATTCAAACTAGAGGCATAAATGGTAATTCATTTGAGGTTACCCTCTAGTAGGTAGAAACATATGTATATATATATAAGTATCTAGGGCTAAGATGCGCCTTTCTCAATAGTGTACTCTTTAAAGTTTATTCACTAAACACAGCATTTTAGAAAATTATTAAAAGAACACCATATCTATATCATCCATACTATATTTTCGCTCTCTCGCTCTCTCTCTCTCTCTCTCGAATGGTTTGGGAGACAGACTGAGGAGGTGTATGTAGTGTTTGTTTTGCTCATACACATTTTTAAAAGGAAACTATGGGGGGGCTACTTACAATGTTTATACATTAGATCATTTTAAAAAACAAAATCATGCACCTCTGCCTATCTCTTTCTCCGGAGTTCAGCATGCAGTGGAATAGCCAGTTAATAATCTGTGAATGAACAGGGTCACAAGACTAGAAAATATCAATAAGAGGCAGGACTATGTAGCCTTCTGACTTGCACCTGATGCAGTATACCCTCAACACTGCAGCATACGCCTCTTGATACCGTTAATGTTAATATTTTGAATTGACACCCATATGATACAGGAAGCCAGTGTAAGGATCGACAGAGGGTGAGGTATGGGAGGAACGACAGGTGAGAAAGATCAGCCTGATGGCAGCATCCGATTGTAGCTGGGCAGTTCGACTTTTGGGGAGAACAACTAGGAGATAATTATAGTAATCCATGCGAGAGATTACCAGAGCATGAACAAGCTCCTTGGCAGCATCTTGAGTGAGAAAGGAGCGGATGCGGGTGATATTTTTAAGGTGGAATCAACAGGTTTTAGCAACATACTGGATATGTGGGGCAAAAGTGAGGTCAGGATCAAAGATAACACCAAGACAACGAGCTTGCACGGATGGACTGATGTAAGCACCATCAACTTACAGGGAGAGCGAAGGAGGAGGATTAGCATTGTGAGGGGGAAAAATAAGAAGCTCTTTTAGAGAGACTGAGTTTCAGAAAGCGGAAGGACATCCAATCAGAACTAGAAGAAAGGCAAGCAGCGACACGTTGCAGGACCGCAGGGGAGATATCAAGGTAGAAGAGATATATCTGGGTGTCGTCGGCATACTGATGGTAGCGGAATCCAAAGGAGTTAATGAATTTGCCAAGAGAGGCAGTATAAAGAGAAAACAGAAGGGGACAAAGAACAGATCCTTGGGGACTCCAACTGAGACAGGGTGAGAGGAGGAGGTGTCATTGCAAAAGGAGACACTGAACGAGCGTTGGGAGAGATAGGAGGAGAACCACGAGAGGACAGTGTCACAGAGGCCGAGGGATTGAAGCTCATCAGTTCCTAGTTAGGCCCCTGCCTGCTACATTGTTTAAGCCTGGTGTTTCTGCTGTACAGTGTGAAAAGTAAAGGGACAGTGTCTGACCTATGAGCCAGGGCAACAGTTTGGCATTTTGTTTGTTTTGGAACTCCCAAAAGTGACCGACCCCTACCGCTTTTCTTCTGGAACTAATTTGGGCAGACACCCCGTGTGCGGTTGGTCAAAACTTTACCCGGTGGCGATTCGGCTGCATTAGTGGGATATGAGCGTTTTTTGGACACTTTGGGCGCCCAGATCCAGGCTATCTGGGGATATAGAACTTGTGAGGGTTCCTATTAAAATCATGCATGTTTTATTCACTGTACCTTTAATGCCTGGGAGATGATTAGTTTAAGTAAAGTAAACTCTCTTATCTCGGCGTGTCTTACCTAGGTTTTTGCTGGAGACCTGCTGCTGTGTATAAAAGTGGGCCATCTGGCCATAATAAAACATTCCTGTTGTACCCTTCATCAAG